TGAGAAACGATAAAGACTTTTAATTGTATTACTTAAAGATGGGGGTTTTTATTATTATTATTAAACTATGGAGGTTTCAAGGAACGGTCATTGAAAAAACAAAAAAGAATAATGTTATCTTTTTTTTTGGCTTATCAGAAGGTTACATAGGTTTAAGGGTTAGTTGAGCCTCGAATATTTTTGTACTTGACTAATATAGACATTTCAACAACACCGCATATACTTTTAGACTTAGTTGCCTATATTTTGGACTTTAATTTGTTGTGTGATGCCTTTTTTGATAGAATTGAGAGAAAATTGTGTTCCATAAAATTAGTGCGGGAACAGTGTGAATTCCACCCTATCAAAACCAACATTTTCCACCATATATGTCTCTATCTGTCGACTCATTAACATGAATAACATCTTTTCTTACCGACGCTTCTTACCAAAAATGATAATAGATAAATATGATTAAATAGTATAATACTTTTATGCATTATGAAGCAAGAAAATTGGGTTCTATTTCAGAAGTTTTGAAGTGATAAAAGAGTTTGGGTAAAACTCACTCTAAAAACAAGCTTAAGAAAAAAAGAAACTCAACCATATATATACACTATAATAGTTCACCAATTTGATAATGTGGGAATATGAGACACACCATTCCTCACACTCGATGTGCATACCAAAGTCCAAATTCATCACTGTCCTAAACAAACATTACTTTAATACTATGAAGCCTCATCTCATCTCATCAAGGTTATCTTCTATACTCTTTGGGGTAGGGGTGTTCAAAAGCGGTTAACCGGTTTTTGAACCGAACCGATTTTTCAGTTCGAAAAAATTTCTGAACCGAAACCAAACCGGTTTGAAAGGAAAACCAGTTTTTCGGTTAATCACTTTGAAAAAAGCGGTTAACCAGTTTTGAACCGGTTTTCCCTTTTTTTTATAAAACTTTTTTTTTAATTTTTTTTCTAAATTAAATTGTAAATATAAACAATACATGTCCAAATAAAAATTAAACATTCATACATATTCATTGACCATTACTAACAATACGTTAAAAATATTATTATTTTTCTATTTAATATATAATATTTTATTTTATTTAATATATATATATATTTTTTTTTTCTTTTGTAAAACTTGTTCAAAAAACTGGCTTCGGTTAACCACTTTTTATTTTTTCCCAAATCGATAACCGAACCAAAAATCCGGCTTTTTGAATTTTTCGAACCATAACTGAACCGTTTTTTTGGTTAATCGGTTTTTCGGGTCGGTTCGGTTTTTGCATTTTTTTGAACACCCCTACTTAGGGGAGCGTTTGGTTCAAAGAATGATGTATTATTGGAAGGGTGTGTTTGGCACGGAGAATGTTTTATTACTAAAAATATAGGACTAGCAGTGAGATATATTACCTTGAAGATTACAGGAGAATATTATATCAATATGTTTGGTTACATTGGTGGGTATAAATAATTAAAATGTTTGTTTGGAATAATAAAATATTATCGGTAAACGTTTTTATTGAATTGCCCTTCGTTTTTAATATTTAAAAAAATTACTTGTAACCACCTACATTTGAGAATTTAGCTAAAACACCAAAACAACAAAAGTTTAAATTTTAATAAAAAACTCTCAACCACTACAGACGATTATCGGCCTCCAGCCACCTCCGTCAGCCATTGCCGATAGTCACTAAATGGTGCACAACCGGTCGTTTATGGCCAAATTGAAGGTCGAAACCCGCCAGATATGTGGCCAATGGCCATTAACAGCCAGATCTACGACCATCTGGCCATTTTCGTCTAACTAGATAGATGCACGGTCAACCAAATCCAACTGGTCGTGTTCTACTGGCGGCGGCTGGTAGTCCTCTACAATGGCCGGGGTTTTGGGTGGTATTCATATAAATAGTGAGGGGCATTTTTATCCAAAAAAATAATTTTTGAGGTTATAGAGGTTATTTTTTACACTTGGACTAATTGTTATTTGGTAGACATATAAAAGATTTGTGTCCAGAATGTTTTTTAATTAAGGTAAAATTGGTATGAATAGTGGATTACCCATATAATCTTTTAATAACACCGCTAAGACGGTAATCTAATTATCCCCTATATTACCAACAATAAACACTATTGGCTTTGCAATATTACCGAAAACTTTTATTACTTGGTAGCTAAACATGAGAATCTTCATAATAAAAAATAGATTATCGATGTTATCTTCCTACAACCCTAACCAAACGCACCCGAAATGTTATATTAATGGAAAAATAGATTACTGTAACGCCCCACTTGACGTACGTAGTTAAGATTTGTTGTATGACTTAAATGTTTATTGATTCAGCTTCAATTGAGTTTGTATGTTGAGTTGGTCAAGTGTGTGCATTGAAATTTGTTGAGATTTGAGGAATCTTAGTGTTACAGTCTTCGCTGCGGCGATGTCAGCTCTGTGTTGCGATGTTGGTTCTGTATTTTTTCGTCGGGGCGACTGAATTTTCTTCGCCGTGGTGACGGGACAGCAGAAAAGTGTTCTTGAGAGTTCTAAAGAATTCTCCATATGGGTAAAATGACTATTCTATCCCTAATTAGCAAGAAAAATGGGGAGTAAAATGTAGGAAAATTTAGTTGTGAATGTGTTGGAGTTGGGGGTGTGTTTGTAATGAATCAAAGGATATAGATGGAATTTCTAAGAAAAAGCAAGGGCAAAATGGGAAAGGATGGTTATAATATGAGTTAAAAAGGGTTAAGTGTAATAAACCCTTCAGTTTCACCCATTTCCACCGCCATACCCATTCTCTACTTCCATTCAATTCTTCATTCAATCTTCCAAGATTTCTAAGGAATTTTAGGGAGCTTTTGGGTAGTTGTTAGTAGAGATTTCATCTAAAGCATCCTAAGGTAAGGATTCTTGCTTTAGATGAGAATTTGTTTATGATTTGTTGAAGTCTTATGTTGTTATTGTTGTTTAAAGTTGTAGAGACAAGACAAGACAAGACAACAAGGGGAAGGAAAAGTGCTAGAGAAGTTGTTTACCCACAAGGTAAGTAAATCCAACTCAAGTTGAGATTTAAGAACTCTTTTGAGTAGAAATTTATGTATGTTTGTGTATATATTATGTCTATTGAGAAATTGTGATGAGATGGATGGTTATTTCTATTTATTGTTGTATATACTTGAGTTATGAGAAGAGTTGAGATGTTATGATGTTGAGTTGAGTTTGATGGAAGTTGGAAAGAGTTTTGAGCCAAATCCTTTGGGAGTGTCTTTCTTTGACAGGAACTTAGAGAGTATGAGGGAGTCATTTTGGGATGATTAAATAAGGGAGAAGAGTTATAGATCAAATAGAGTTTTGTATGCATATAAGTTGTATGATGAAATGCTTTAGTAAGGTATGAGTAAGAGTAGAGAACCTTAATTATTGCTACATGGTATACTTGCATTTCATGAGTGCATTATTGAGCATGAGTCATCCATATGCATTAATTATGCATTAGAGAAAGAGTAGAAAAAGAGTAGAGAATTTTGAGTGTGAGCTTTATTAAGAAAAAGAGAGAAAAAGAGAATAGAGTAGGTTGTGCGATGGGGAACCCATGAGTAATGGGTAGAGTATTCCCGCATATATGACGCATTGAGAGAGTGGCATGAGTATGAGAGACAGAAGTGGTGTAGCCCGTGAGAGTGCATGCGGATGAGGACTATACCCGAGAGTACCCGAGAGAGAGATTATACACTCACAAGGCCAAGGGTTTCGAATCCATGCATAACCGAGTCCGATCAGCTAGAATGAGTAGAAGTCAAGTAGAGCGGGAGCGAGTCCCGACCGTGCCTCCGGTAAGATGAGGCTGTGACTTACTAAAAAGAGTTAGTATAAAAGAGTTATGAGAAAGAGAAAACAAAGAGAAATATAAGAGAAAGAGTAAATAAGAATTGTACGGAAAGAATTAGAGAGAGTTACAGGGTTAGATGAGTAGAGGATTTACTTACTGAGTATTGTTTTAGTGCTCACCTCGTTGTTTCCTATGTTTTGCAGGGTCTAGGTGAGGACACGGTCGGATAGGCGTCGGCAAGCGAAGGGAAATGGCTACACTGTCCACCATGTTTTTGATCACTTTTGTACATGATACAATTTTTGTGTAAAGAATATATATGTGTGGGTGTGTGTGTGTGTTTAATGAAAGCAAATTTTGGGCCCAACTATTTATGTTATTTTTCATGTGTTTTCATTATGTATCTTTTATGAGTATATGAGTAGAAAGCGGCTATTACAATTACTTTGAAGATTATTGTGAATGTTATATAAAATGTGTTTGGTTATATTAGAATAAATTAGAGGTTATGTTATATTGATATATTTGGTTGGTAGGAATAAATTGGTGGGTATGTTATATACTGAATTGCCTCTTTTTTTAATATTAATATTATTTAAATCATTATTTTAACCCCTTATATTTGAGAATCAAACTAAACACCCCAACAATAAAAGTTTACAAATTAACAAAAATACCCCAATCACCAAGAGGCAAGAGGACTGCTGGCTATCGGCCACCACCACCGACCGACAGTTAGAAGTTGTCGGAACTATGCACAATCAGACAGATGTGGCCGATCATGCACCGATCAGGCCATTTCCTTTCTTATAGATTTGGCCAGAAACGACGAGAATAGATCTAGCAGTTTTTGGCCAGATCTACGGCAATCTGGCTGTTTCTGGCCATTGATCTGGACCAATTTATTCTAACCTAATCAAACACATTTCCCTAAACATTTTCCGTAATCTTAAAAGTAATCTATTTCTCATTAATATAATATTCCTAGTAATACAATATTCCTTTAATCAAACGCACCCTAAAGTAAATATCAGCAGCTCAAATTTATTAAAAGATTTAAATATAAAAAAAGAACAATCAAATGCATATTTAATTTTGGGCTTTAAGTGCATAGTGTGATCAAGTTCAATTTACACAAAACTTTCACCACACGTCTATGGCAAACAGTAATGATATCGATATGGGTCGGATTGAACATGGAAGTTTTTAAAGTGTCAAGAAAGCACAACACAAACAAGCAGATATCTGAAGAGAGACAGATAGAGAATGGTAATGGATTTTGAAAGGAGATTTAGATTATATATAACAAGGAGAGGAAGCCCACCTGCAAGCTTTTCTTCTTCTGCTGGTTTAGTAACATCTCAACACACCACAGTAAAATGGCAGAGAAGAAGAAGAAAAATGACAGACGGGCTTCTCATAGGGACCTCCATAAGCATTACCATAGAGAAGAAGAAGAAGAAGAAGAAGATACTTGTCAATACTACACTGACACTAGAGGACCAATGCTTGTAGAGCTTATCCTATAACCTGCCACACTAAATCATTATTAGAAAACCATCATTTTATAGCATTAATTCTGACATCAAACCCTCTCTGCTCAAATCTGCCTACCAGCCACCCCTACTTCAACTTTCACTCCGGCGGCTGCAAATTTCCGTCCAGGACCATACATTCAGGCGACTAGGACACCGGTAAGTTGGAGTCTCTTTCGTTATTTAAATACGATTTCTAACCTAGACATCCAATAACTCCACCTTCATTCTCTCACACATTCTCCCACCCACGGCACCACACCACCACCCTCAACCCTTGCCTTAAATCTGCCGTGAAGCCCAAGCAACTCCTTATCTTCCTTCATCCACCGTGAAACCCACAACAACCACCACCACCATCCATCGCACAACTACCTCCACCCCGCACTGTAAACCCCACTTAAACCTTGCAAGCCGCGTTGCCCAACCCATTTCCCCACCACAAACAACTCCCCATTAGCAGCCCATCACACATTGTCAACAAAATCCAAAAAGTGAAAAACGAAGAACAGAGGGATATTCATAATTGATGTTAAAAGAGGGGTATATGAGTTTTTTGGTTTGTATTTTCTTTAGTTGGATTTGGAGTGGGTTTTTTTCTTTTGATTATAATCTAGAATTTAAAATAGTGTTGTTGTGGTTATGAGATGGATCTGGAGTTGGTTTTGAATTGTTATGCTGCTGGATTTTGGAAAGAAGTGTTGCTTGGTTTTTTTTTCCCTATTTAATTTAAGATTTTATTTTAATTGGAAGGTGTTTGGTTTGGGATTGAGTTGTGTGCAGTGGGTGGCGCAGACAAAACACTTTAGTCAACAAATTTAAGTCAACTCACTAAACATCTTGATTCCTCAGAAGAGAAGACAAGACAATGCTCTTCAGAACTCAAAGAATTCCGTCACTTTTTACTAAGATTCGGTGCATGAGCAACATCCCTGAAAACTCAGTGTATGGAGGGCCAAAGCCGCAGAATCCAAACCAGCGAGTGACTCTAACCCACCTGAGACAAAAACATAAGAAGGGTGAACCCATTACTGTTGTCACCGCCTACGACTACCCTTCTGCGGTGCACCTCGACACTGCTGGCATTGATGTGTGTTTGGTGGGTGACTCTGCAGCGATGGTGGTTCATGGTCATGATACTACATTGCCAATCACTCTTGATGAAATGCTTGTCCATTGTCGTGCTGTTGCTCGTGGCGCCAAGACACCACTTCTTGTTGGCGACTTGCCTTTCGGAAGTTATGAGTCCAACAGCAATCAGGTACTTAATTGTTAATTCATATATGCATTTAGTCAAACATAGAGATTGCCCTGAAATTTGAAGTATAAAGGTTTTGACTTTCAAAGAGCTTGGTGTTGGGTATATGAGGTGAGGTTTATGTTTGGTGTAGTTGGGTTTATGTTTGGTGATGGAGGGAGTTTTGACTATGAGCAGGCAGTGGACACAGCTGTTAGGATTTTGAAGGAAGGTGGAATGGATGCTATTAAACTAGAGGGAGGGTCACCGTCGCGAATTACGGCTGCAAAAGCAATAGTTGAAGCTGGAATTGCAGTTATGGGGCATGTAGGACTTACTCCTCAAGCTATTAGCGTTCTTGGGGGATTCAGGCCTCAAGGAAAAAATGTTGCGAGTGCTGTTAAGGTTTGTTTGACTCTTGTTCTTTCTATTTTTTGTGAGGGTATAGATGTTTTGGGGATATGTTGAATTTGTTTGGTTTTTTCTGTAGGTTGTCGAGACTGCTTTGGCTTTACAAGAGGTGGGTTGCTTCGCAGTTGTTTTAGAATGTGTGCCTGCAGTTGTAGCTGCTGCAGCTACTTCTGCTCTTCGAATTCCCACCATTGGCATTGGAGCTGGACCTTTTTGCAGTGGCCAGGTTAATTTAGACTCTAATCTTTTGAAACAGTACCTGTTTATGTTTAATTATTCATTTTCACCTAGATAGAAGGATTACCAGACTAGTGTTAGCAAGTAGTTTTATATGTATGACGCTGTTAGAATTTTTACATACAAATTGTGATTCTACTATTGGAACAGTGATAGATACCCATAGACTTGAAATCAAGAGTGAAATATAGCCCATTCTTGAAAGTTCACAGAGTTATAAGTATCATAAATTTATATCACAATTAGGAAAAACTAGTCATCTTTGATGATTATTTAGAGGAATGCCTCGAGTCTATATAGTTAATGAAGCTAATACCACCTACTTAATGAAGAAATTGGATTGTTTACTTTTAAGGTTGGAAGATATGTACTCATTTTAGCCAATTCATAGTCCACCAGTCTCATACGTGTCGACAATTTGTTCCTTGCTAATTTGCTGTTCTTTTGAGAAATTCCATAGATTTCCACTCTGTTTTCCTCTCTTACATGAGACAGAGGAGATGGATAAGAAGGCTATGTAGTGTTTATCATATAGCTACTGGTAAATCTAGTATTTGCATTATTGAATAAAATGATCCTAAGAGCTTATGTTTAGAGGAAGGACTGAATAATCGTGTGAAATTCTAATGTGTACATCCACGTTTAGGGTAAGTTGAACTTGATTAATAGGTCACGGGGCGTCTAAACATAGACCAATATCCCTTGCGTGGAAATTTTACTGATCCTGTGGAAGTTTTTTACAAGGTTCAAATACAAGACCTCCAGATGAGTTAAAGTTTGACTAAGATTAATCCCATCAGTTTGATGATCTTGTTATCTTATCACTCTGCAGGTTCTGGTTTACCATGATTTGTTGGGAATGCTGCAACATCCACATCATGCCAAGGTTTAATCTTAATACTTGTATGTTTTCCTCGATCATCTTCTTGTACAAACAGAATTTACTTAAATTTGATTTAACTTGTGCAGGTTACCCCAAAATTCTGCAAGCAGTATGCACGTGTTGGAGATGTGATTAACAAAGCTCTTTCGGAGTACAAGGAAGAAGTGATGAACGGTTCATTCCCTGGTCCTGCCCATACTCCATATAAAATCACTGATACTGAAGTCAATAAATTCGCTAATGAGTTACAAAAATTGGGTTTGGACAAGTCAGCGGCTGTAGTAGCTGAGAAGATTAATACATCATCTAATTCTAAAGACTGAGTATGGAGCAATCCAACAGCTATCGCTTTTTATTTGCAAAGGATGAATAGTCAAACAATACAATTTTTCCTAACCATTAGTAGTTATCGTTCTTAATAAAATATCCGATTAGCATACAACAAACGTCTGAACATAGACCCTAATCGTTTGAGAGCTTTAGAATTCTATAATGAAGTTGTGGTTCCAGCTTGAAATCAGCAATTTTGAAGCTGTGTCAATGGCTATCGTTGAACTGGTTTAAAGATGGTCTTCGGCAAACCATCTAAATTTTGTCACTAATCATACCTAAAGTTCTAAAAACTGTATGAGTTCCAATGTCAAATTCTGGTTACTAACTCCAGGAGTTTCTGGAAAAAGTTGCAGAACTACATGAATTTGTTTAGTTTGCTTTAGCTTCTAATATCCTGGCACTTCATTATTATTATACTTCAACTTTCAACTAAGCACATTTATTATTTGGTTCATGCTTTTCAAATTTCATCATTCTTTTTCAATTGTCAAAGTACTTTAGAGTTTAGAATTCAAATTGTTGTGTGATAACAATTCAAAGAACTTAAGAAAATTATGTTCCACACAATTAGTGAACAAAATGAGATTTACTTGTTGCCCTTATGCTTTTGCGTTCTGAAGATTACTATCTAGACTTTTGCTATCCGGGTGATTTACTTAGAGGTCTTGTACTCGAGTCTCATAAGGTAGTTATTGACTACATTTGTGACTTAATTGGTCTATTGGATTTGTAGGGTGTTTAATAGACCCAGATGATTAGTTGAGGTGCGCGCAAACTGGTCCAGACACTCCGGTTATTAAAAAAAAAAAAAAAAGATTATAATCTCATTAACCCTTATCAGAAAATTAATCAAGAAAAATATGATTAAATTGATATTTTCTGCTTTAAACTCAAAGCAAACTTCCTCCAATTGACTTTGGGCTTCAGTTACACAGACTCAACCCACAAGTTGCAGTATAGCTTTTCATGAATATGTCTGTTGAGGAATTCTCTTTAGAATCATATAATATCTCATGCAGTCATACTGAATCTGAAAACAGTAAACTAAATAGATTTTTGTTCTCAATGATTGGTGTATTCTATTTAGGGCATGACTTAGTGGCAACACTGGTACATCTTTCTGTCACATACTAGTTGTTTAATCAGTTGTTAACTCAAAACCCTAAATAGACTACACTTGAAACTTATCTTTACCCTGGTGAGTTTACAATAATATCCTGGACTCAAAAGGTTAATTATAATCTGATAGTTAAGAGATGAGAGATAACACTATCCCAAAAACGGATATAAATATGCATTTTGATTTGGTAAGTATAATAATTGGTTTTATCGACACTAAAGCTAAAATCAGCTTATTGTATACATAAGCTTGAATGGTTAACCAACGAGAGGTTAATTAAGTTGTTGTCTGTGATTTGCTCTCATAAGGTTTAAGGTTTGAGTGTCCTCGTGAATACTTACATGATTAAAGGTCACTGTTTCTCGTTTCCTAAAGATTATAGAATCTGACAAGACTGTAGTTTCGAAATTGAATCCATAGATGAGATATGCAACTTAATTTGGTATGTATAGTAACTAATTTCAGCCAAAATTACCTTGTGCATAATTATATGTGATGATAGGTGATGCTGAAATAATAAGATGACTGAACAATCAAGGAACAATTGATATGAAAAAACCACTATCGAATGTATCAAGTTCGGATACTGGATTGAATAAGCAACCACAAAAGATTCTTAAACTTTCATTAATAAAGATAATCATAAAAAACTGCCTTATTACGGTTATAACAACCTTTTTATAGTTTGCCCTAATAAAAAAACTAAGAAAAAGAACATTAAACAATCATTGAAGAGGTCCCAAAACATTCCAAAAGTTGTAAGTAAATCCAAAAAACTCTAGAAGTTTGTAAAAACCCCTTATAAACATAAAAAAAAAAACCTAAAAACCCATCTAAACGATTCCGAAAGGCTAAAAATGATGAAACTCGTACCTCATCACGAGCCTAACTTATTTGACCGTTTCAAAGTGCCACGTCAAAATTCGTCGTATTCTGACATTGTTGGCACTATTCAACACTGTTCACTGTTCATACTATTCATATGATACTGTTCATAACCGCATCAATAGGGGTGGCAGGGAATCTGATGAAGCCTTTTAATTGAAGATGAGTATGGGCAAACCTGCAGAGAACAACCATATTAACACCCACCGACGCCCAAATTACTGTTACTGTCATTACAATTACAATTAACACTTCTCTTCTGCTTCTGCGGAAACAGAATTTTAATCATTCAGATAATTTCTCACACCTGCTAAAACTCACGTCCAGGTGACGCATATATCTCCATTTTTCTATCTGTCAAATCTCCTCACTCCCTCTTTATATTCATTTATTACATAATCCTCAGGACAAACATTTGGGCAGTCCTCCATGTTTATATTTCTTTACTTTTCAAATGGCCTCCTTTTTTAATATATTAAAAACTGTCACAAGTGCAGTACTTTTATATTTTTATATACAGAAGAAAATTTCCAGTTGCCAATCTCCCCATTTTTTTTTAGCTGTCGTCGGCCAATTGCTATAAGATAACGCCGCATCCCCTATAGTTAGTGAATATGTTTAAGATTCGGTCTATAAAGTTTAAATCCTCATTACTAAATAAATGAGTGAAAGACACTTATGTGAAACATAATTAGTATCAAAAGGGGTTTATGATCCGACGAACGATATGGCAACGGGTGTATATAGGTTGTCACATTGTCACATCCCTTATTACTGGCCATCATATTTTAAAGAAAATCATTAGACAAATTTGATGGTTGGTTTGAAACTCTTAGGTGTATTAATAGAGAGGTATTGAGTTTGAATCTTCATGACTATTAATAAGAGATTACTATTGGAATCTTATCTGACCGTTAACTTCAGAGCTTTAGTGTCATGGGTTAGGAGTTTCACACTAAAAAGGCTAACCTATTAGGTGGAGAGACTCCTCTCATTTATAAGCTCAAAACCTCCTCAATACACTTTCGATATGAAATTTGTTATATTCTCCCTCACCTAATCATGTGACGCCCTCGTCACAGGTGGGGCCTCCTGCTTACCCGTCCACCTCACTCTTGTGTGGACCCACAATCACATGTAGACTCCCTTACCTGAGAGCTTGGTGGGACATTGAAAGACGGATCGGGTATGCTTTGATACCATTTATCACGGGCTGGGAGTTTCACACCCAAAAGACTATAACCTATTAGATGGAGGGACTCTCCCCATTTATAAGCCCAAGACCTCTCCAATACGCTTCCGATGTGAGATTCATTACACTATAAACTAGTTGATGTGCGCACAAACTAGTCTGAACACAAAAAAAAAAAAAAAAAAAATTCATGGAGTATATGAGACTAGATGTGAGAATTTGTCACATGCCACATCGTTAATCATTCTTTCGAAGATATTTAGCTTGGCTAATGATTATCTTATCAACATAATCAGAGAAAACCCTGGTCTAATGTTAAGGTTTATGAGGCACATGGCAAGTAGCAAGCTGAGACAACAGTGTCTGTGAAAGTCTGGAGAAATATTAGCAAGAGAAGAAGACATAAAAAGAACAACTTATTACTTAAAAAGCAGTAGCAGGCAGGGTGCAGAGCTGAAATAGCTATCCAGCAGATAATTTAATGTATTTAATTGAAGTGGTAAATTAAAAAATAGAGAAGAGTGCAGCGGGCATGTGCAGATTGCAGAGAAAAGCATAGAAAATGGCCCTTACAGGTTGTGTTAACACTGAGAAAAGCATGCTTCATGGTCCAATGTTTCTGCCTCAGCAGCCACCAAGATTATTATTATTTATTTAATATAATGGAGCTCTATCATCTCCTGGAGGGTCACCCTTTTATTTGTTTACATTATCCTTTCTGTTTCTCCCACATCTTGGTACCAGACACTGTTGTTTTCTTTATATTTTAGTATCTACTTTCTGTCTCTGCACATTGGCATCATTCTTGATCCAAATCTAGCAATTATCCTTACCTTAATTGGGAGGAGGCCTCCCAATCTCCATTAATTTTCTTGTGTTAATTACTTGTATATGCCACAAACATTGACCATACTGTGAGTCCTTTTAAAAATTATAGAATGTTTGAAATTAAAAGATGACCTGTAACAACAAAGGATGAGTTTGTAATTCTGAATTACAGTCAATGGTGATGGAATATTCACGGTTTAAATATTGGCCGCTGTTGTTTCTATTTAACCGAAAACTAGAAATAGAATTATAACATTAAATGGTGACTTGTAACCACCTTTGGGTGGACAGGTGAGACGATGAGAACTCTTAAGTGTATTATTCAAGAGGTCTTAAGTTCAATTATTCTCGGTTGCTAATAAAGGTGACCACTGGAGGGTTTACTTTGTTGTTAGCTTCAGGTGTATGCAAGCTAGCCCGAACACTCCTGATTATAAAATAAAAATGATGACTTGTTCTGAAGATACACACGTGCCTCTGAATGTATTACAGTCTAATCCTAAGTTAAAAGACAACTTATAACAACAAACGATGAACTTGTAATCGCGAACTAACAAAACCAATCAAGTAGAAACTGTTTGTTTGCATGACGTTTTTTCTAGGTTTCGATACAAAATGGTCACATGAAATGAAAAAATGCACTTGAAATTCACATTCTACAGAAGAAAAATTGATCCAGTTTCAGCTGATGAGCTCTCTTATCTTTTATCTCATCAAGTTATGAGAGGTCAATTTGAGGACCTCAAAATTTGATGACTCCAAAGAGAAAGAGAAAGGAGAGTAAAAACAAGATCTCACTGATCACCATCACCACAATACATTGCACTAAACACAGAGAAAAGAGAATCAAAAGATGCCATTTTAATTTCTTCATCACCACCCCCACTCCACATATGAGATAAGAGTTTTTACAGATAGTGCCAACACCAAATCTCCTTACTGGGTCAGCAGGGGTCCAGGTCGACATTGCCCCATATTCTTTGCTTAAGAACAATGGACATTTTGTTTCACTATTCATATTCTTTTTTATTATCTTTTCAGGATTTTCTTTCATTTCATTTCATTCATTCATTGTTCTCCACAACCGAAAGCAAAGAATCAAATACTTCATTTCCATTCATTTTCTTCTTTCATAAACGGCCTCATGAATAATAAGATGACTGACATCAAGGAACAATTGATATAAAAAACCACTATCGAATGTATCAAGTTCGGATACTGGATAATAAGCAACAAAAATTCTTAAACTTTCATTAATAAGATAATCATAAAAAACTGCCTATTACGGTTATAACAACCTTTTTATAGTTTGCCCTAATAAAAAACACTAAAAAAAGAACATTAAACAATCATTGAAGAGGTCCCAAACATTCCAAAAGTTGTAAGTAATCCAAAAAACTCTAGAAGTTTGTAAAAACCCTATAAACATAAAAAAAAAAACCTAAAACCCATCTAAACGATTCCGAAAGGCTAAAAATGAGAACTCGTACTCATCACGCCTAACTTATTTGACCGTTTCAGTGCCACGTCAAAATTCGTCGTATCTGACATTGTGGCACTATTCACACTGTTCACTGTTCATACTATCATATGATACTGTTCATAACGCATCAATAGGGGTGGCAGGGAATCTGATGAAGCCTTTTAATTGAAGATGTATGGGCAAACCTGCAGAGAAAACCATATTAACACCCACCGACGCCCAAATTACTGTTACTGTCTTACATTACAATAACACTTCTCTTCTGCTCTGCGGAAACAGAATTTTAATCATTCAGATAATTTCACACCTGCTAAAACTCACGTCCAGGTGACGCATATATTCCATTTTTCTATCTGTCAAATCTCCTCACTCCCTCTTTAATTCATTTATTACATAATCCTCAGGACAAACATTTGGCAGTCCTCCATGTTTTATTTCTTTATTTTCAATGGCCTCCTTTTTAATATATTAAAACTGTCACAAGTGCAGTACTTTATATTTTTTATACAGAAGAAAATTTCCAGTTGCCAACTCCCCATTTTTTTTTAGCTGTCGTCGGCCAATTGCTATAAGATAACGCCGCATCCCTATAGTTAGTGAATATGTTTAAGATTCGGTCTATAAAGTTTAAATCCTCATTACTAAATAAATGAGTGAAAGACACTTATGTTAAACTTTAAGGTTGGAAGATATGTACTCATTTTAGCCAATTCATAGTCCACCAGTCTCATACGTGTCGACAATTTGTTCCTTGCTAATTTGCTGTTCTTTTGAGAAATTCCATAGATTTCCACTCTGTTTTCCTCTCTTACATGAGACACAGGAGATGGATAAGAAGGCTGTGTAGTGTTTATCATATAGCTACTGGTAAATCTAGTATTTGCATTATTGAATAAAATGATCCTAAGAGCTTATGTTTAGAGGAAGGACTGAATAATCGTGTGAAATTCTAATGTGTACATCCACGTTTAGGGTAAGTTGAACTTGATTAATAGGTCACGGGGCGTCTAAACATAGACCAATATCCCTTGCGTGGAAATTTTACTGATCCTGTGGAAGTTTTTTACAAGGTTCAAATACAAGACCTCCAGATGAGTTAAAGTTTGACTAAGATTAATCCCATCAGTTTGATGATCTTGTTATCTTATCACTCTGCAGGTTCTGGTTTACCATGATTTGTTGGGAATGCTGCAACATCCACATCATGCCAAGGTTTAATCTTAATACTTGTATGTTTTCCTCGATCATCTTCTTGTACAAACAGAATTTACTTAAATTTGATTTAACTTGTGCAGGTTACCCCAAAATTCTGCAAGCAGTATGCACGTGTTGGAGATGTGATTAACAAAGCTCTTTCGGAGTACAAGGAAGAAGTGATGAACGGTTCATTCCCTGGTCCTGCCCATACTCCATATAAAATCACTGATACTGAAGTCAATAAATTCGCTAATGAGTTACAAAAATTGGGTTTGGACAAGTCAGCGGCTGTAGTAGCTGAGAAGATTAATACATCATCTAATTCTAAAGACTGAGTATGGAGCAATCCAACAGCTATCGCTTTTTATTTGCAAAGGATGAATAGTCAAACAATACAATTTTTCCTAACCATTAGTAGTTATCGTTCTTAATAAAATATCCGATTAGCATACAACAAACGTCTGAACATAGACCCTAATCGTTTGAGAGCTTTAGAATTCTATAATGAAGTTGTGGTTCCAGCTTGAAATCAGCAATTTTGAAGCTGTGTCAATGGCTATCGTTGAACTGGTTTAAAGATGGTCTTCGGCAAACCATCTAAATTTTGTCACTAATCATACCTAAAGTTCTAAAAACTGTATGAGTTCCAATGTCAAATTCTGGTTACTAACTCCAGGAGTTTCTGGAAAAAGTTGCAGAACTACATGAATTTGTTTAGTTTGCTTTAGCTTCTAATATCCTGGCACTTCATTATTATTATACTTCAACTTTCAACTAAGCACATTTATTATTTGGTTCATGCTTTTCAAATTTCATCATTCTTTTTCAATTGTCAAAGTACTTTAGAGTTTAGAATTCAAATTGTTGTGTGATAACAATTCAAAGAACTTAAGAAAATTATGTTCCACACAATTAGTGAACAAAATGAGATTTACTTGTTGCCCTTATGCTTTTGCGTTCTGAAGATTACTATCTAGACTTTTGCTATCCGGGTGATTTACTTAGAGGTCTTGTACTCGAGTCTCATAAGGTAGTTATTGACTACATTTGTGACTTAATTGGTCTATTGGATTTGTAGGGTGTTTAATAGACCCAGATGATTAGTTGAGGTGCGCGCAAACTGGTCCAGACACTCCGGTTATTAAAAAAAAAAAAAAAAGATTATAATCTCATTAACCCTTATCAGAAAATTAATCAAGAAAAATATGATTAAATTGATATTTTCTGCTTTAAACTCAAAGCAAACTTCCTCCAATTGACTTTGGGCTTCAGTTACACAGACTCAACCCACAAGTTGCAGTATAGCTTTTCATGAATATGTCTGTTGAGGAATTCTCTTTAGAATCATATAATATCTCATGCAGTCATACTGAATCTGAAAACAGTAAACTAAATAGATTTTTGTTCTCAATGATTGGTGTATTCTATTTAGGGCATGACTTAGTGGCAACACTGATACATCTTTCTGTCACATACTAGTTGTTTAATCAGTTGTTAACTCAAAACCCTAAATAGACTACACTTGAAACTTATCTTTACCCTGGTGAGTTTACAATAATATCCTGGACTCAAAAGGTTAATTATAATCTGATAGTTAAGAGATGAGAGATAACACTATCCCAAAAACAGATATAAATATGCATTTTGATTTGGTAAGTATAATAATTGGTTTTAGCGACACTAAAGCTAAAATCAGCTTATTGTATACATAAGCTTGAATGGTTAACCAACGAGAGGTTAATTAAGTTGTTGTCTATGATTTGCTCTCATAAGGTTTAGAGTTTGAGTATTCTCGTGAATACTTACATGATTAAAGGTCATTGTTTCTCGTTTTTTAAAGATTATAGAATATGACAAGACTCCAGTTTCGAAATTGAATCCATAGATGAGATATGCAACTTAATTTGGTAAGTATAGTAACTAATTTCAGCCAAAATTACCCTGTGTATAATTATATGTGATGATAGATGATGCCGAAATAATAAGATAACTGAGCAATCAAAGAACAATTGATACGAAAAAACTATCACTGAATGTATCAAGTTCGAATACTGGATTAAATAAGCAACTATAAAAGGTTCTTAAACTTTTCATTAATAAAAATCATCATAAAAAAACTGCCCTATTACGGTCGTAACAACCTTTCTATAGTTTGCCCTAGTAAATAAACTAAGAAAAAGAACATTAAACAACCATGAAAGAGGTCTTAAAACATTCCCAAAAAAAAACACCTAAAAACCCATCTAAACGATTCCGAAAGGCTAAAAAGCAACAAAACTCGTATTTTCTTACGAGCCTAACTTATTTGACCGTTTTAGAATGCCATGCCAAAATTCTTCGCATACTGACATCGTTGGCACTATTCAGCACTGTTCACTATGCATACTGTTCATACAACACTGTTCATCGCTGCATCAATAGGGGTGGCAGGGAATCTGATGAAGCCTTTTAATTGAAGATGAGTATGGGCAAACCTGCAGAGAACAACCATATTAACACCCACCGACGCCCAAATTACTGTTACTGTCATTACAATGAACACTTTTCTTCTGCTCCTGCGGAAAACAAAATTTTAATCATTCAGATAATTTCTCACACCTGCTAAAACTCACGTCCAGGTGACGCATATATCTCCATTTTTCTATCTGTCAAATCTCCTCACTCCCTCTTTATATTCATTTATTACATAATCCTCAGAACAAACATTGTGGGCAGGCCTCCATCTTTATATTTCTTTATTTTTCGCCTCCTTTTTTAATATATAAAAAACTGTCACAAGTGCAGTACTTTTATATTTTTATATACAGAAGAAAATTTCCAGTTGCCAATCTCCCCATTTTTTTTTTTAGCTGTCGTCGGCCAATTGCTATAAGATAACGCCACATCCCCTATAGTTAGTGAATATGTTTTAAGATTCGGTTTATAAAGTTTAAATCCTCATTACTAAATAAAAAAGTTTTGAGTGAAAGACACTTATGTGAAACATGATTAGTATCAAAAGAGGTTTATGATCCGACGAGCGATATGGCAACGGGTGTATATAAGTTGTCACATCCCATATTACTGGCCATCATATTTTAAAGAAAATCATTAATCAAGTTTGGTGGTTGGTTTAAAACTCTTAAAACGTATTAATCGAGAGGTATTGAGTTTGAATATTCATAACTATTAATAAGGGGTAACCACTTAAGGTTTATCTGTCTATTAACTTTAGGGCCTTAGTGTTATGGGTTGGAAGTTTTACACCTAAAATGCTAACTATTAGATGGAGAGATTCCTCATATTTATAAGCTCAAAACCTCCCCAATATACTTCCGATGTGGAATTTGTTATATTCTCCCCCACCCAATCTTGTGACAAGGGCGTCACAGATAGGGCCCCCTGCCTACCCGTCCACCTCACTCTTGTGTGGACCCACAATCACATGTGGACGCCCCTGCGTTCGCGCTTGGTGGGACATCGAAAGACAGATCGAGTCTGCTTTGATACCACTTGTCAGTTGTCATGGGTTGAGAGTTTTACACCCAAAAGGCAAACCTATTAGGTGAAGGGACTCTCCCTATTTATAAGCCCAAGACCTCCTCAATATGCTTCCAATGTGGGATTCGTTACACTAGAAACAGTTGAGGTGCACACAAACTGGCCTTGACATCTCTGGACACCAAAATAATAATAATAATCATCATCAAGTATACGAAACTGGACAAACTAGTTGAGATGTGCACAAACTGGCCTTGACACCTCTGGACACCAAAATAATAATCATCATCAAGTATACGAAACTAGATGTGAGAATTTGTCACATCCCACATCGTTAATCATTGTTTCGAAGATATTTAGCTTGGCTAATGATTATCTTATCAACATAATCAGAGAAAACCCTGGTCTAATGTTAAGGTTTATAAGGCACATGGCAAGTAGCAAGCTGAGACAACAGTGTGTCTGTGAAAGTCTGGAGAAATATTAGCAAGAGAAGAAGACAGGGTACAGAGATGAAATAGCTATCTAGCAGATAATTTAATGAATTTAATTGAAGTGATAAATAAAAAAATTGAGAAGAGTGCAGCGGTCATGTGCAGATTGCAGAGAGAAGCATGGAAAATGGCCTGCACAGGTTGTATTAACACTGAGAAAAGCATGCTTCATGGTCCAATATTTCTGCCTCAGCAGCCACCAAGATTATTATAATTTGTTTAATATAATGGAGCTCTATCATCTCCTGGAGGGTCACCCTTTTATTTGTTTACATTATCCTTTCTGTTTCTCCCACATCTTGGTACAAGACACTGTTGTTTTCTTTATATTTTAGTATCTACTTTCTGTCTCTGCACATTGACATCATTCTTGATCCAAATCTAGCAATTATCCTTACCTTAATTGGGAGGAGGCCTCCCAATCTCCATTAATTTTCTTGTGTTAATTACTTGTATATGCCACAAACTTTGACCATACTGTGAGTCCTTTTAAAAATTATAGAATGTTTGAAGTTAAAAGATGACCTGTAACAACAAAGGATGAGTCTGTAATTCTGAATTACAGTCAATGGTGATGGAATATTCACGGTTTAAATATTGGCCGCTGTTGTTTCTATTGAACCGAAAAGTAACAATAGAATTATAACATTAAATGGTGACTTGTAACCACCTCTGGGTGGCCAAGTGAGGCGAGAAGAACTCTTGGGTGTATCACTCAAGAGATCTTGAGTTCGATTATTCTCGGTTGTCAATAGGGGTGACCATTGGAAGGTTTACTCAGTCGTTAGCTTCAGGATCTCAGGGGATTAGTCGAGGTGTATGCAAGCTAGCCCAAACACTCATGGTCACAAAATAAAAATGATGACTTGTTCAGAAGATACACACATGCCTCTGAATGTATTACAGTCTAATCCTAAGTGATCCAGTTTCAGCTGATGAGCTCTGTGTCTTTTGTCTCATCAAGTTATGAGAGGTCAATTTGAGGACCTCAAAATTTGATGACTCCAAAGAGAAAGAGAAAGGAGAGTAAAAACAAGATCTCACTGATCACCATCACCACAATACATTGCACTAAACACAAAGAGAAAAGAGAATCAAAAGATGCCATTTCAGTTTCTTCATCACCACCCCCACTCCACATATGAGATAAGAGTTTTTACAGATAGTGCCAACACCAAATCTCCTTACTGGGTCAGCAGGGGTCCAGGTCGACATTGCCCCATATTCTTTGCTTAAGAACAATGGACATTTTGTTTCACTATTCATATTCTTTTTTATTATCTTTTCAGGATTTTCTTTCATTTCATTTCATTCATTCATTGTTCTCCACAACCGAAAGCAAAGAATCAAATACTTCATTTCCATTCATTTTCTTCTTTCATAAACGGCCTCATCCTCCCAATTCTCACTTTCTTTCAACACACCCCCTTGTTACAATTATAAACGATATCTAATTTTAATTAATTAACATTAAACGTATCTACTATTATCAGATGAGTTTTTGATATTTTTTTTAAAACATTTTGCAATAATTTTAGAAAATATCTTAGGGTCCATTTGTTTTATTATTTTGGATAGGATTTTGGGAATAATATTGAGTAGTTGAATAGAGGAGTATTACGAGGTAAAATTTAAAAATTTATTGAAAAGCCCCCTAGGTTTGCTAATTTAAATAAACACCCCAATATATAAAATTTTTGTAAAATGACAAAAACATTCCCACCAGTCGGAGTGCAAGATTCCTACCACCACCACCAGAATCTGGCCAAAAAATTGCGTTACGACATAGACCGGTCGGATCTAGCGAGTAGGGCGTGGAAATGGCCTTTTCTGGCCAAATCCACCACGGATCTGGCCAGAAAAAGCCAGATCTGCGGCTAGATCTGGCTGTCGACGGTCGCAAAATTCCATCTTCTGCTATTATTGACCGTCAACGACAACCATTTCTTTGGCCGTCAGCTGCCTTTTCTGGCCAGATCCATTATGGATCTGGCCGGAACATGCCAGATTGGTGAATTACCGGCCAGTTTTGATCATGGTGTAGGCCATTGTGACAGATTCCGGCTACCACCGACGGTGATTGCCGAAATCTGGCAAATATGGATTTAGGGGGTGTTTTTGTTAATCTGTAAACTTCTTTTCTGGGGGTATTTAATAAAATTAATAAACTTAAAGGGTCTAAAAATAATTAAAAAATATATTAATATTTCTCAAATAATGTGCCAAACAATATTTGGGGAATAGGATTGGGAATATGGGTAGAAATAATGTGCCAAACGCACCCATATATTTTTTTGAAAACTCTCCCAAGTTGAAGCAGTTCTTAATTGGTAGACTGAAAATGCTTTAGTTCAAAATAAAACCATTATCAGAATAGAACAAAAATTGGATCTGGTAACTCATCAGGTAGACTCTCAGTCTCAGAACCACACTATACTGATTTCTCGCTTACAAAACTGGTTGATCAGCTCCATTAAGAATTGATGCACATCGAATGCGTTTAACTATTTAATTAATGAAATAAACCTTATATTAATGCTATTACTTTAAAGGGTCCTACATTTGCCTCACATTGATTTTGGTGTCCCCTCACTTTATAATGAAATATTTTATGTTACTCAAAGGACAGTTTAGACCTTCAATTGTGTACTAATCAGTAATCACCTTTTAGTTCAAAGGGCAACCAAGAAATTTCACTTGCCTTAATCAAGGGGAGCTCCAATTAGATTCTACAATTGATGAACTCAACTAATCATGGATTATTATGATTTTTCTTTTGAATTCTAGTGTGAGACTGTGTGTATCCATATCTCATTAGAGATCAAAATAGTGTTAATCTAGTAGTTAAAAAGACATTGACCTATTCCAAGGAATAATCTAAAAACAAAAATCTTCCTATAATGTATTAAAATACCTCAAGGTCAGTGTCTATTCTTTTTGACTAATTGATTTATTGATTTCTTATAACAAAACCCAAAGTTGAAAAAAAAGGTAAAGAAAAGAAGAGGATTAATTAAGGACCACTCTTTACATAATATCAAAAGCTTGACATAATTCTCACCACTAAAGTCTCTCTCAAAATGAATCAAGGGAAGATAATTATAACTAAGCAAAGTCAAACTCAAAGGGCTAATCTTCATTAATCAATCAAACCTTAAAATCACTCAAAAAGAAAGGACCTCCTCCAAACATATAATATGATTTTATGGGTATTATTAATTGCTCACAACAACACAATGTATCAAATCAAAGGTTCCATTGCCAAATTGATAAGATAACATTAGGATAGCATGTCCCATTCTCACATACACAGAATAGGGACACTAGACCTACCTGAATAGAATGAAGAACCTAACCATATTTTGGCTTATATTTAATGGTCCTCCCATCCATTTAACTTTGAAATTCACCTTCTTACCAAGGTTACAACTAACCCTTTTCATTAGAATCATAAAGTTTATCATTGACCCCATACCAACATAAATTCAAGAGTCAAATTACATAATAATAATATGTATGTATAAAGATAATGACATTCAACTACTACCAAAATACTTTGAATTCATAATTTCACAACCTTAATAGTTCAGTATTGATAACCTATTATCTTTAATAAGGGTAAAATATAAAGGTAAAACTCGATCTAGTTCGTACATTAATCCTAGAATAGATGCATTATTTCATTTTTTTTTTATTTTTTTTGTTATGATCGAGGTTGTTTGAGTCAATTTGAACACACCTCGACTATTCTCTTAAGACCGTAAGACTATTGGTCGAGTACGAGTTCAAGAATCATGTAAACTTAGATTTTCTTTTACTCTTTTACTATCACGCTATCAAACACTGGTTAACACTATTTAAGTTTATTAGAAACTAAATATGTTTGGATTTACAAATTACTTGAGCTTCTTTCAACTTTTTTTGTTCAAAAGTAAAAATGCTTCCACACATGAGAATTCTCTTGAAAAAAAACATGTTGAATGTGATTAAAACAAGTGAAATAACCCAAGAATGTGATTAAAACAAGTGAAATAACCCAAGAATGTGAAAAGACGAAAAAGAGGGTGAAGCTTCGACCTTCGAGTAGTTAAACTAGGAGGTGATAAACATAGTTTTGTATTGTACCTGTCTTGGTCCCCAGGCTGCAACTCTGCAAGACTTCCGCGTATTTGAGTGTCCACTTGGCATGAAAACTGGACTTCTCTTTCTTCGAGCTTCAACTACTCACTCTAAAGATTACATTTTTGATAACTTTTTTCGTTATTTCTTCAACTACAACTCAGTTTTGACGTTTTTAATGCATTTGGATTCGTGAACTTTCACTTCTTCCAGGAAATCTCTCAGGTTTTCTCAACATTTTATTCTATGTTCAGCTCTTGTTCAAATCTTCCACTTTTTCTTTTTTATCTTTTTTTATTTTAATGGTTTGATTTGAAAGATTAGTGAATTTTGTTTAATACTGAAAATCTGATCTGGGATTTTGATATAATGATTGGAGAAGTAGAAAACATGGAATTTTTCTTTAAACAAATTGTTAAAGGAGCTTAATTTGGATCTTTAAGAGTGATTAAAGAATTGGTTTGACTGATTACTTTATCTATATTACAACTTTATATTTTAATAATGTAAGTTTTTTATAAGGACTTTTGTTTTAAAGCAAGATTTTGTTCAAGTAAATTTGTAACTGTAAAATGAGTTACTGGGATTGTCTTATCGTGGGGGCTCTTGGTCTGGCTTCTTTGTCTTGAAAGTTTCTTGGCTTCGTATATATGTTTCTGGGTTCATTGAACAGTTCACATACAAGGAAAAAGTTGTGTGAAAAGTACCAATAATGGTTATGTGCATGATTTTGATTTTGGGGCTATTCTGAGAATCAAAATACTTGTTCCAATCCTCCATCATGCCTTTGTTTGAGCTATATCGTATGAGTAAAGAGAAGCTTGATTCATCAAAGGAGGATAAGAACCCTACATCAGCTGATTTATCTTTCGAGTAAGTCACTTCATTCTATTTTCGTTACCTTTTTAAGTTTTAGTTCTTTTTGTTTATCTTTTTGAATCATAATCCTATTTTCTCCTTTTGATTTGGTTGTTATTGTCTTTGGATGGGGGATTAAATGCAGACCTGAGAATGACTTTGTTGAACTAGTATGGGAGAATGGTCAGATTTTGATGCAGAGCCAGTCTAGTAGGAGCAGAAAGAGCCCTATATCAAATAGCTTACCATCTCATTGTTTACCATCTCACGCCACCAAGACAAGAGAAAAAGATATGGTAAATGGCACCAATACAAAGATGGGAAAGTTTGGGACAATTGACTCTGTATTGAATGAGATTCCTATGGCGGTGCCATCTGGTGAAATGAGTTTGAATCAAGATGATGACATGGTTCCTTGGTTGAATTATTCTATCGATGAATCTTTACAGCATGAATACTGTTCAGATTTTTTGCCTGAGTTATCTGTTGTCACTGGAAATGATCTCTCCACCCAGAATAATTTTGCATCGTTTGATAAGAGAAGTAGTGGCAGTCAGTTCAATAGAGAATTCAATACTGTTTCAGTACATAATGATGCAAGTTTAGAACATGGGAATGGGTTGAAGATTTCGTCAGTAGGAGGTGGTGAGCCGACGAGACCAAAGAGTAGTACTAGTCAATTATACCCATCGTCATCTCAGCAATGTCAGACCTCATTTCCTTATCTTAGATCAAGAGTTCCTGATAGTATTGGCAATAGTTTGAAGAATTCAACCCACAATTCTGTTTTTGGTGGTTCTGCTCCTAGTTCATCTGGCAGTTTTCCAGGCATAAAGATGCAGAAGCAAGATCCAAGGATGCCTACTAATAGCACTGGTCTGATTAACTTTTCTCATTTCCAACGACCTGCTGCTCTTTTCAAATCTAATCTTCAGAATATCGGTTCAACTCCTGGTTCTGGGCCATCGAGGATAGAAGGGATGGGTAGTAAGGATAAGGGGCCCGCTGCAAGTGGTAGCAATCCTGTTGAATCCACACTTAATGATTTGAGTAGTGGTTTAAGGAAAGGAACAAGTTCCAATTACCAACCCACGGTTGCACTGTCCAAGGTTGATGTAAAACCATCTGAAGTGAAGCCTCCTGAGGAACCAGTTGTTGCTGAACCGTGTGAGGCTATAGGCCAAGAAGATGCATCAAAGAATGATAAAAGCCATACTCAAGTTATTGGTGAAAGTGAGGCTCTAGGCCAAGAAGATGCATCAAAGAATGATAAAAGCCATACTCAAGTTATTGGTGAAAGTGCAACTAAAGGACTGTTGGATAGTGAGAAGACTGTAGAGCCTGTAGTTGCTGCTTCTTCTGTTTGCTCTGGCAACAGTGTAGAGAGAGCTTCAGATGATTTAACACATAATTTGAAGAGAAAACATCATGACACTGAGGATTCTGAATGTCCTAGTGAGGTAAGTTAGATAGGTATGCTAGTTTTTGCTGGTATGCCAAATATTATATGTCATTTCTGATATAAAGGCATTTTTTATGTGCAGGATATTGAAGAAGAATCAGTGGGTGTAAAGAAAACAGTCACTGCTCGAGTAGGTACAGGCTCTAAGAGAAGCCGAGCTGCAGAAGTGCATAATTTATCTGAAAGGGTGAGCACGACCATTCAAGCTGAATACTAATACTAGGAGAACTTTTATGTCTATGACCATCTTGCTTTCTATTGTTTCTCAATTAAAATCTTGACTTGTTCTCATTTGGACTACCATAACAGAGGCGAAGGGATAGGATTAATGAAAAGATGCGTGCTTTACAAGAACTTATACCAAACTGTAATAAGGTATGTATCTTTAATTTATTTGAACTTATTGATTTGATTGGTTGATAACCTCTCTAAGATGTAAAATCATTGTTATCAGAGTGAAGCTCAAAATCAATTGTTTGAGCACATCTATTGTGGAAATTTTCTGAAAGCTCAAGTATACACATCATGTTTTTTAACAACATACTTTAATCTGAACTTTTGGTGGTTCCATATATTTTATACTTTTTTTTTTTTAATTTAAATAAATGAACGAGAACAACCAGACACTTGATAGCTTTTGTGTCTTCAGTTTTTTTGACTTTTACAATTTTGCATAAGGTGGACAAAGCTTCAATGCTTGACGAGGCCATTGAGTATCTGAAAACACTTCAACTTCAAGTTCAAGTAAACTTCAAGATTCCCTCTCAATGATTTATTTTTAATTTTCTGAATTTGGACAATCTGATAACTGTAATTTATCTTTTACCAATTTTATGCAGATTATGTCAATGGGAGCTGGTTTGTATATGCCACCAATGATGTTTCCATCAGCAATGCAACAAATGCGTGCAGCTCATATGGCTCATTACTCGCAGATGGGTATTGGAATGGGAATGGGTGTTGGCTATGGAATGGGTATGCCTGATATGAATTGTGGAACTTCTGGTTATCCAATGGTTCAGGTGCCTCCAATGCATGGAGCACATTTCCCAGGCCCACCAGTGTCAGGACCCACTGCTTTACATGGGATGGCAGGATCTAACTTCCAGCTGTTTGGGCTTCATGGTCAAGGACATCCCATCTCAATGCCACATGCACCCTTTCCTTTATCAGGAGGGCCTATTATGAAGCCAGCCATGGGACTAAATGCCTGTGGCACGGGAGGTCCTATGGATAATTTGGATTCAGCTACAGGCTCGACCTCAAAGGATCTGATGCAGAGCAACAGTTCTCAAGCAATGCAGAACACCGCTACTGATAGTTCAATGAATCAGACATTGCCAAATACCACTACCAATCAGACATTGCAGAACACCGCTACCAATAGTTCAATGAATCAGACATCTAATCAGGTTAGTGCAATTTATCATGCGGTCACATGTGAGAGAATAACACGGTTTTGGTAATATGGAATTTATGTTATATAAGAAACAATTTTTTGGCCCATCTAGAGCAATGGTAGCCTTATAGTCCTAGGTCCCCCCATAAATGAGAAAGAAAGAATGACTTGTACAGTCACAATAGATATTTCTGAATTGAAGAAGATAAATAGTATGGCTACAAAAGGAAAGGGCTAAGGGGAAGTCATCATATTAAAGATTTCACTGTCAATTTTTCATATACAGGGCCGTTCCGTAGGTAGTCTGAAAGCAAAAATTGGTGGCCTTTGTACTCTTTCTCGCTTTCCTTATCCTTAATTCCCATCTTCCTGTACTTAATACGTGCCTACCTGGCTATGTATTTGGAGTTTGATTCTTCAATGGCTATCTATAACTAGTTTGATCTTTTATTAGGTGAGTGAAAACTTGCAAGATGAAAATTATAGACAGTTTAGACCCTTTAATTTTTTAACAGGCATTTCTAGGCTAAAGGCTTTAATATGTTAGTACACAGTTGAAGAAGAATTATGAAGACACCGAATCATTTTGTAGACAAGCAGAGAAGCTCATAGAAAGTGATCACCAATGTCTTTGTGTACAGTAGGAAAGTGACTTGGACAGCAAGGCTCATCGCATGAATTCACTGTCATTTTCAAAATTAAATGATTGGCATTGCTTCAGGGAAAATCTGTATCTGTTCATCAATACAGAATATTTCCAGTTCTAGTTAAGAATGATGAATCGTGAGAATAAATATTATTATTTGTTACTTCTAAAATGTGGAAACCAATAACCCTGGTTATATTTTACTAACTTCCTGAACTTTCCTTCATCCTACCAAATATTTTGTTGGATACATAAATCAAATTCCTTCTTCCTTTAGTTTGCCGGAGTATGGTCAAACTAACATTTTTTGCTATTCCAGTGTCAAGCAGCAAATGGAAGCTTAGGACAGCCTCCTGCAGTGCAAGATAATTGTCAAGCCTCAGAAGGTACTGGTCATGGAGCTTTCGGCTCACCCAAGAAAAATGACAACGTTCCTAATAGAGCAGCCTGTGAGTGTTTATTGGTGACTACGGATAATTACATTTACATTGATGAGATATAACATTACATTTTGGTTTCAGGATTGTGTAAATTAAATGCTTGCTTGTTTGTGCAGGTTATGAATGATAGCTAGTTCTGAAAATTTTGATTAAATGAGAAAAATCCAAGTTGGTTGCTATCTCTACAATAACCATCTGAACTCTAATTACGGGACAGAACAAGTACAATATCCACAGATTTTGGTATGCTGAGGACCCTCAAAATGTTTTCTTGCGCCTGTACATTCATTCATTTACTTGACACATGAAATAAAGCGATGTCAAAGAGTAGAATACGTATCTCAACAGTATTTATTCAAATGTTTTCCTTTGTAGATATTGAGTAACATTCTTTCAACCGATAAAATGATAGTAATTTTCCAATACATATCTCTCCATCTCTTCTCTCTTTGAATTTCTATGATTGGCTTATCATTGTTTTGATCTTACTCAATTTCTATGGTTTTGTGGGTTACTTCGTTTAGTTAAGGAAGGATGTTTTTTATCTGTTTATATCTTGCTTTGACGATCTTGAAGCAATTTTAAGTTGCGATAATCATTGTATAGCACGAGTGCACCTTCATATCCAGAAAGATGTTATAACATGATATTATCTGCCGGCTCATTAACAACGATTGAGTTTCATTCATAATTTTCATTCATAATCGCAAGCCAATACTCATGTCATATAGGCAATTTTTATACTGTAGTTATCGTTATTTTCCCTTCATTTTTTGGCTCAATGAATGTAAATGCTTTTCTCAGTATATGCTCAAGTTTGTTTGTTATGATAGCTGTGTTATCTTATCTCGTATCTGTTAGTCTTTTTCTTGAAGATCATTGTCCTCCACTTCATTTTTGTACTAACTTTAGCTCTAGTAAGTGATTCTCCAGCAAAACAGATTTAAGGCTCCTTTCTAGTAGTGTTATCATAGATTCGTTGACTTTCTTCTNCTTATCTCGTATCTGTTAGTCTTTTTCTTGAAGATCATTGTCCTCCACTTCATTTTTGTACTAACTTTAGCTCTAGTAAGTGATTCTCCAGCAAAACAGATTTAAGGCTCCTTTCTAGTAGTGTTATCATAGATTCGTTGACTTTCTTCTCCCACATTTGGAATTTTATGATCATGCAGATCAGTTTGGCACAATGTTTCTCCACACTAAGAGAATGCTCCACTTCATCAAGTCCTTTTCGTAGTTGCCATGATTTCAAATATTGACCTTGCTTTCACTTGGGATTTTCATTTTTCAAAGAAGTACGGGAAATTCAAATTGATCCTGCCTCAATTTCTGACCCTCAGATTTTTATTCGCGACTACGTACAGTAAATCAAAAGAGTAATGCTACACATAAAAAAGTATACATAATAAAATTGTTTATCAAGAGATATTGCAATAGATTTGTGATGTAATCAGATTCGATTATGTAATCTTATTTTTTACGTGATGTTAACAAATAAACAGTCCCATCAACTGAATACAAAATGGAGAAGCAAACTTTGTATGTACAGTGTTATTGGAACCATGGAGAAGTATCCAGAGAGTTAAAGGTAATCAATGAGATCCAAAGAGATTTTGATAAGCTTTTCAGTCAAATTCATGATATAGTTTCAAATTCTGATTTCCATAACAGTATATGGGAATTGAAACTTTGCAAACAATCTACAGAACTACAATGAATAGCAGCAATGTATGCATACAGGGAAGAGAGTGTAGTAATCACAAAACTATAAAAAACATCTATTACTAATCTTACAAACTGACAAGTTCTTGTTCTTTGATAATACTTGTATCCAAACCCCTATCACAAAACTATTTATACATCAGAAATGAATAGGCCATAGGGTAGAAGTAAATACCCTTTTTTGTTTAAAATTTTTACAATATTTAGCAGATATAACTATAGCTTCTATGTACACAGAGGGAAACCAACCAACAAACTGCACAACACACATTCACAACACTCATTCACAACACTGTAGAATAAATAATACATATGTGCAAAGCTCCTCTGGTGGAATGCCTTATTTGGCTTTAACATCATCCTTGGTTTTTGAAGTTGGAGATTTCCCAGTGATAGCTTTCTTTGCCTTCACAAGTGACTGTTTCACCTTTGATATAAGGTTGTTTGATTGCTTTTGAGTTGGCTTGGCTGGAGCTTCTTTTGGAAGGTCCCGCGATGTTTTTGTGCCATCACCATCCTTGGAGACCTCCTTTTCCTTCACTTCCAACTCAGTTTTTGGAGGCTCTTTAACCGGTTCGCTAACAGGTTTATTGGCATCATCCAGCTTTTCTTCTGTTTTCCCATCTTTTTTTGTTTCATCTTTTGCTATCTCTTCACTCCCATTTTTAACTACTTCAGCATCTTTATCTTTTCCAGTGTTCTCTCCTGGAGACACCGTTTCGGTAACTTGAGCATCGGCGCTCTTGACACCCTCCTCTTTAATAGGCTGAGTTGATTCCTCAACCAGTGTCTCTTTTGACGAACTTACAACCGCATCAACTCCACTTGATTCCTTCTTTTCTGTGACATCAGGAAGAGAAGATTGAACTACATCTTCTTTCTCAGCAGCTTCAGGTTCCTGATTTGTTGAAAAAACTTGTTCTGGAACAACTACACTAGTTTTCTCCACTTCGCTGATTTTCTCCTCAACCGTAACAGCCAAAGTCTCTTCATCTTTCGCCTTAGGCTCAACTTCAGATGGTGGCTCTTGTTTTGCCTCAATTTCAGGTACAAACAAAACCGGTTTTCCACCCTCTTCGGAAACAGTCTCAACCTTTTCAGTCACTTCAGGTTGTCCTCCTAATTTTGCTTCAACTTCACCAACAACCGGATCTCGTTTATCAACCTCCACAGATGCTGTCTCAACCTTTTCAGTTACTTCTTCAGATTTTCCCTCTAATTTTGCCTCAACTTCAGGAGCGACCAAATCCTGTTTATCAACCTCCTTGGACAAAATCTTAACCTTCTCAGCTACTTGTTCAGATTGTCCCTTTGGTTTCGCCTCAACTTCAGGAACTACTGAATCTGCTTTTCCCCCTTCTGTGGAGATGGTCTCAATCTTTTCAGTTACCTCCTCAGATTTCACCTCTAATTTTTCTTCAACTTCTTTCAATTGTTCAACAATCTTTGGTTTCTCTTCAGATTCCTCTGGCTTCCTCTTAACAGCATCAGAAATGGATTCTTTCGGAACCTCGACTACCGGAGGCTCAATCTGCTCATCCCCAGCCCCTTTGTCCTCTGGACTGAGAGACTCTTCCACTTTGGGGACATCTTCATTTTCCTTTGATGCTGAAACAACAACATCATCCACTTTCTCCTCAACTGGCTGCAATCAATGAAACCCAGATGCTGATTAATCAAAACAATTCAAGAAAACATCTGATGTATATGATCTTGTTTAGGTCTCAACTTGTTAGATCATCAACACAACAACTTCAATATAAAACTCCAAAATTCTCAGATAAACAAGGCACACAATTTCACAGACAAATATGAATCCCCCTGATGCATCAAACATCCGAATTAATAACTTAATTATGGATTAATCAACAGGATTATAATTGCTCTATGCAACACAACAAAAAGTCACTAATTACTTAATTGATTTCAACTTAAGGGTTCATTAAAAAAATTTAAATAAAAAAAAAAAAAAACCAGAAGCATACCTGATGAGCTTCAGTTGGTACGGTCTGAGTAGCCATGAGAGCTGAGTTGAAGATGAAATAGGAAGAGAAAAACACACACCCTTTAAAGTGAAAATTAAATTAAAGCAGAAGAAAAAGAACGATATGGTTGGTAACTACAACAAAAACATTCAACAATCAAAACAATTACTGCCAACAAAAATCAGAACTTGCTACTACTGCTACTGCTACCACTTCTTGATGAAAAATAAAAAAATAAAAAAATAAAAAAAAATCAGTAACAGGGTGCGGTAGACTGTATATCACATGATAATTTGGGTTGCATGATTAGGATTCCACATTAAACTTTAAAAAAGGAAATTAATGAAAACTGAAAAAAGTATTTAATAATTGAATTTGTGTGATCCACCTTTGCTTGAGACTATGAGACAACTTTTATGGGGACCATTTTTATTTGAATAATATTATACCAACAACTCGCTCTTACAAACTTTCTCTCACAACTCTAACGTGACAGTTTACAATTGATCAGTTCATAACGGGTCCCATATGAGTCTCGCATGGATCCCACTAATTAATTACGGACTGCAACATCAGGGTTATGAGAGAAAGTTTGTGAAAGATAGTTGTTAGTGTAGTATTACTCTTTTTATTTTATTTTATGTTCTAATTTGTATATTTGGCTTGTATGCTAACGGTCGAGTTCATATGTCTTTTCTTCATCAATCATTTGACACTTGTTAAACTAGAACACCGTCGTTTTGAGACTGATTAAAAATAGTAATTTATTCATGATTGTAATGTTTTGATTATGGTGTGAAGATAAAAAAGGATGTTTGAAAATGTGTAACATATTTTCATATTTTTGGATAGGTCAAAAAGTTAAAATTATAAAATCTATATAAATAATGCTTAATTCAAAAGTTATTCTCCATTATTGCTTAATGCTTATTAATTCAACAATATACAAAGTCATTCTAGATTATAGACAAAGATTTCTTCTATCACCCTTATCTGAAAGTCTTTACCCATTTAAGGATACAAGAACTTTAGTATTACTATTGAAGTTTCTTTAATTTTGAATGATCGAGAGATTAGCAGAGTAATATTGCACATTCTAAGTAGTAAAATAATATGTCACTCTATATGGTATCATTGTGTCATTTTCCATATAAACGTATTATTTGCACATCAATGTCATGTAAACTTGCGTTTGTTTTAGTATTTTGGATAATATTTTTGAAAAAATAAGAGTTGGGTGGTAATAATGAGGTAGGATTTGAAAATTAATAAAAACACCCTCCTAGGTTTGTTAATTTACTAAACACCCCTGTAGTAAAAACATTAAAAATTACAAAAACATCCCCACCCACCCATTAAATATTGGCAGCCAGCCACCACCGTCGGAGGGTGGTCGGAGTCACCGTATCGACGTATGGCCAGTTGGATCTAACTAGTCGTGCGCCGAGGTTGCATTTTCCAGCCAAATCCACCGTGGATCTGGCTGGAAAAGGCTAGATCTGCTGCTAGATCTTGCCATTGACGGCCAGATCTAGCCACGTTTGATCGTCAATGATGGCCAAAGATCTGGTCGTCAATGGATAGATCTTTGGCAGTATATCTAGCCGAAAAAGGCTAGATCGGCGCACTACTGGCCAGATATAATCGGTAGTGCACCATTATACCAAATTTCGGCCACTTTTCGACTGTGGTGGCCAAAATCTGGCAAATGTGGGTGGCTGGATGAGAGTGTTTTTGTCAATTTCTAAACTTTTTTTGGGGGGTGTTAGTTGAATTAACAAACTTAGGGGGTTTAAAAATAATTGAATAACATATAATAATATTTTCAGAATTAACAAATATGTATTTTGGAAATGATAGAAATTGGATAGGGGAAAAATAGGGAAACAAACGTACCTTAATAGATATTACCTGAAATTTGAATTTTGACAAAATTTAGTATTATAGAAATCTCTCGTATCAAGTAATGTGTTATCCTGTATGGTATCACCTTATCACTTATCATATTAACTTATTATTTATACATAAATGTCATGTAGAATGATATATTACCCGAAATGAGAATTTTGAGATACATACTTAAAATTTATAGCATTATTCTTTTAGTTCTAGATAGAGTTGTAAAGATTTGCAGATTGATCAAGAGGGTTCTAAGTTTCTTGAAGTTGTTAGATCATTATGGGTTGGAATGGTAGGGTGGTAATGGTCAAAAAGTTCCATATATGTTTATTCATTAATTGTCAATTATAGATCATTACATAAGGATTATATCATCTTTAATTATTTGAAAAAATCTCAACCATATATATATTTATAGAAAAGAAAAAAAAAATACTTGAATTTCAAGATTATCATTCAAAGATTACACTAACTAATAAACCTTATGATGTCTAGTTGTCTCCTCACCTTTTTCCATTGACATATTTGAGAAATAGTGGATGAATATGAACTTGTAATAAATTGTTCTTTTTGTATTATTTGATAGATTATATCATTGTCAACCCTCTAGATTAACTTGTTTGGTGGCTGTTTTGTGTTCATTATGTCTATTGTATTGATCGTATCTTACGCCCTTTAACAACATATATAATTCATTTTTAAGCATACAAATCAAAGTATTTCAGAAAGTCTTTTATCCAACAGATATGTATACAACCAATCAATGAAGATGCATCGTATTAAAGTGCGATGCATATACCTACACAGGTAGTCACTTGTTGAAATTAACTCATTATATGTTCATTCCTTGGAAATTTTTTTTCTTTTTTCTTTTTTTAAAAGCATTTAGAAGTGACCACCTATCTGTATGTGGAGCTAATTGGCCAAGGGACATTTATTAGATTCTGATGTGTGTACAGGTACTAAATGTTCTTCTTTATGTGATATAGAATAGACATAACACACCCTTTAATCAAAAAAATGTTTTAGCAAATATATGAAAACAATACAATTAGAGGTTGACATATCTTTGATTGATGGAGAATTAGAATTGAGGATTGATTCATGAAGAGTCCCCCCCACCCTCCTTCAAAAACAATCAAACTAATAAGCAGCTAGCTAGGGACATTAAATTCACTCTTATAATTAAGCTTTTGGCCTCCTCAAGCAATCATGTTAATGTGGCAAGAAAGTTGACTATCATTTTCCCACTAACAAAGCAAAAGCTAATATGTAATTATTCTTTGATGGGGTATCTCATAAACATTTCAACCCGACAATGCTTTTGATAATTGATATGGGGTTAAAGCCCTTAACCCCTTTTCATAATTGATTCCTTGTTATTAAAGTCAATTTTTATTTCACTATAATTTGAGGTTAACCGAGCAAATATTGTACGCTTTAGGACTAGACAATATGGGGGGTTTGTTTTTAGATTTCTCTTTACTGTCAATTCACCTAAAACGCGTCTATTTAGTTGAGGTAATTCAAAACACATATAAACTAATTCACATACTTGAAACAATTTGCTTTAACAATAGTTATATCATTGACACAATTAATGGAGAAAAAATAGTGGTGGGTTTAACTAATAATGATTATAATTAAGATCTTAAGCTTCCATAACTGGTAAGCCATGTCATGATATTGACATTCATGTTTGTGTTATCATCACAATGTTGCTTTGATAAGACTAAAGATATACATAAAAAATAAAAGATTAAGTTTTAGTTGTGTGATTTAACTGAGCTCATAAGGTATCCATGTGCTTATGTTTCCTAGTTGTGTTATAATCAAATATTATTGAAGATTGCATTAAGAAGAGTCATCTCAAATAAAGCTCCCCCCTTTCTTTCTTTCTTTCTCCTCCTAGTTTTTGTTACTTGTCTAGGCATTATAATGTGGGATGTTTCCCACAACTTTAATTGCTTGAATTCTCTAGTTAGTCAATAATTAATTAACATCCAAAGAAATTAAAACAAAAGTCTTATCCACCCATGGGTAGTCCATTGTTAAGGGCAAACCAATGAGACTGCAAATGGTTCAATCCACAGTCCTAGGTTTGATTCTCCCATTAGGTCTACCTTTGTCCATGATTTACCTAAAAGGTCATGATAGTGGGTTGTTGTGGGATAACTCCCCCTTGGGATTAGTCGAAGTATGCATAAGTTGGCATGAACACCTCAATTATTAAAAATAATAACAATAATAATAATATTATAATGTAGCATAAGCTCTTTCTTCTCTATTATTGTGTGTGTGAGACATTAGATTAAACTTAAACATATATAAAATAAAGACATCTTTAATGATAATAGAAACAAGCATCTCAAATTTCAAGGACAGAGAGATTATGTCTCCCTCCATTTCAAATAACAAATTGATTATTATTTTATAAATGGTCTTGCCTAGCTAACATGAATTTCAATCCCATATTTCCCATCACACACTTAGCTATATTTGAAATTTAATATAACCCTTTACACTAGGAATAAAATTATGTCATTGCTTTACCAAGAAATCATCATTTCCATATGTTTAAATCAAATCATCACTCAAATTGCTAATTAAACTTACCCTACACAATATTGTCACCAAAACCTCCCACTTGATGATAATGAAGAGCTATAGAGATTTAACTGTTTTGATTGTGATCTGTTTGCTCAATTTGGTGAAACAAATAAATATATATATGAAAATTTAAAAAAAAAAAATCAAAATTCAAATCCTTACATCATTCACAGATGAACCTAAGATTCAATTTCTAACGTTTAGGTCTCCATAACTAAGTAGTATGCGTTTTGGGTGAATGACACTTACATGAAAGCCAAAAGTAATCTTGTGCCGGTCTAGGCCTAAAGCAAATATTATCATACTCGCACCCAAACAATATCTTCTCGAGTAGACCCAATATATTACATTAATATTTTTTAGTAACTAAAAGAATAGGGACATGGACCTACAACTCATTTCTTAGATGGTTCCTATTTGATATGTTGTTTTCTTGTTGGTGCTACATATAAACTCTTGGGGACCATCCAGCCTCCATTAATAGGGTTTTTTCTGATGAATATTTTTGACTAATCAAAACAATCCCAGCTCAGCCATTGCTAAAGAAGACACATAAGAGAACAGTTTTTTGTTGATTGTGGTGGCTGAAATGAACTGAGTTTAGCCAGTCAACCTATAGACTTTGGTTTCATTTGACCTCTATCTCTATGTGTTGCATTGTAGTGGCAAAGGATTTTAATTATTTGTCTATGTACAATGGAAACCAAACCAATGTAATGGAACAGCAAAGTATTATTTATATTAATTAATTCAAGCAAGTTAAACTCGATTAAACTATTGCTTGTTTGAAAGTTCTAATCATTTGATGACAGAGATAGAGATAGAGAAAGAGATATACATTCCCTACAAACAATATGCAGGTACAATAAATTTAATTTAATTTATTAAAGTAAAGGAGAAACAATAATTCACAAGCTGGCTATTTTATAATAATAAATTAAACAGTGTAAATTTCCATCCAATTGGACCAAGTGGTTGAATTTTACGTTGTCATTATTTTGAATATAACGATAGATTCATAACTGGCAAACAGTAACAAAAAATGACGATACTTTGAATAAATATAGATAATATCTTATTTATAAGTCTATGGTTTATAATTCTGATAAAGAATTTGTAATGTCATTGAAAAGACTTGTACTAGAGAAACATTAACTGAAGGTACATCAAATTCAATTTGTTAAAGTAAAAGAAACTATAATTCTTAAGCTAGCCTAGCTTGCTATATCATAATAATATGTAATAAATTAAACAATATGAATTTCCATCTTGGGTCCGTCTAGGATGCTTCGAGATAGTATTGACATCTTTTTCGTAAATCTATCATTGAATTTTATATCGTCATCATTTTGAATATAACGATAGACTTATAACTGTCAAACAGTACCAAAATTGATACCCTCAAACAACATAGATTAGTGTCTTATTTGCAAACCTATATATCAATCGTAGTGATTCTAATGATGAACTTGTAACAGTAACGATATATGTACTTATAACTGTTAAATAGTACTAAAATTGAGGCCTTGAAACAATATATGTGTCTCATAGTAAACATATCATTCATTGTGACTCTGGTGATGAACTTATGACGATAACGATATTCTTATAACTGTCAAACAATATTAAAAATACTTTGTTAAAACGTTGACGACTTGTAAAAACTGAAAAGGACACTAGTGTCACCAAGACAATATTATTGCAGCAAAATCCTCATTTTGTGAAACAAGGTGTCAAACATAAAACCGTGCGCCTTAATTAACCACACATCCTAGCACCCGTCCTACTACTTGAGTTACCAAATGGTGGGTTGCTATAAGGATACCGGTGTTTCCCATGACAAAACCCTAATTTTTTAATAGAATAGATGTATGTGAACAAATGAAAGATGATTAAGGGGGGAAGAATAAAATGGAAATGACAGCGAAGAGAAAGAATAAACATACAATACATACATACAGTTGACTTCATCGATCACCAAATTAAACAGCTCATATTCCTTCCATAAAGATAATCAATCCTATTACAATCATCTCTCTTTAATCATCATGGATGAGTTATGGAGAGATTACAAGCATCTTTTCATGGGAGTCTTTCTTTAATTTATTAAGAGTTAGCCATTGCTAGACGTCAAGGAAGCTTCATAACTCCAGAACAAAGAGAGACCATTACACATACACTAAGTTATTAAAAAAGCTTTATTTATTTAATATTCATTGTGATTAACTAATTAATTATTATTATTAAGTGAAGTCTCTTTCCAATAAACTATGGAATCTTGTTTAAGAAAATCAAATTAAAATATTATATTGTTTTGGATGTTTACATGTCATGCATATCTTGCATAGAATATTTTGTCATCCAGTTGATTAATTAAACGTTAAATTTAATTAATTAAATATCTCTTGACATCTTCCTTCAAGATTATGCTCTTAAACAAATCAATTTTGCTCCATAATTTCTCTAATTTTTATCACTATTTCTTTTGTCATGTTCCTGTATATAAAGTCATAACAGACCCCTTCCCTTTATTCTTATTTATTTTAAGGGTATGTCTATAATGTCTTCACGGCTTTGGTGTGTTTTCTATAACCGCGAAAAGAAAATTAACGATAAACTTATAAAATATATATTTAGGGTTTCAAAGTCGATCAAATCTTGTATTCTTCGTAATTTTACTCTATCCTTAATCTAAACATGTTAAGAATATTTAACCACCTTTAAGCTTATGTCGTTTATAATTGCAAACGATAAACTTATAACAACGAACAAATAGATTTTTCAGTACTTTCGTCTATTAAAAAAAAAAAAATTAATTAATATCGTTGAGAAATTAATGTTGCCGTAGCAATAAAGATACCAGTACATTGAAATAATTCAGCAGATCTTGTCCTCATTTAGATTTCAGATGTAAATACTCTTTATTGTGGAAGACAAATCCATTATTTTGATTGTCTTTATATAAAGGACTTACACTCTTTCACTATTTCGCGGTAGCCTTCAACAGGAGAAAATTTCCGAACAATAGATGCATATACAATCAGTTACTGAGAGCATATACGTATAATAAATACATATATAATCAACTACTAAGAACATGTAAAACATATACTTACATATTTTGATGTAACATTCTGTTATATACTGATTAATTTTAAGCATTAATGTACTGGTTAGAGGGAAATGAAAAGTGATTTCACATTAATAAAGAAACAAGAATGAACAGTGGAGTTGGTGGAATTTGGAAGATACCCTCTTATTTAATTAATTTATCATGTAATATATTTTTTAATTTGTACTAAATATGGACCTTTCCAAAGAGATCTTGATTTCAGAAAATTGCCCAAAAAGTGAAAAAGAAAAAAGGGTACTTGGGAATTATTTTGAAGGGATGACTAGTCAAAAACCAAGAAAAAAGAAAACCCTTTAAAATAAATATTCAATGTAGTATTTATTTCATCATAAGAAATAAAAGATCTGTGTAGGGATGATTAATTATTGCTTCTTGTTATAGAAAATTTATCGCAGCATGCCATATTTGAAAGTCTTAGCTAATCATGGGAATTTCTTGTTTCAAAGAAAGTTCCCCATTTTCAAATTTGTGGCCAATTTTGTATATAGAATCTTGGAATAAACTTTGTTGAAATATAGTATTGCTTCAAAATCAATATCAACCATAAACATCATACATCTTATGGTAAAATCCTCTATGGTTGTTTTACTTGTTATCTTCATAGGCGAAGCTAGTCACGTTACAGATCAGAATATACGTAATCAACCATCGAGGTAATTAACGAAGGTATTTATGTCAAATTATCTTTTTTCTTTCGTTTCATTACCAAATTTTGAGGGTATTTATGTCATTTTATAATTACACAATTAAATATAGTAAATAAACATCGTTAAGTGTTGTTTATCTGTCATTTCTAAAGCCTGTGTCCTCAAAGTGTAAGTTTCAAAAACATATGTCCTCTAAGTTAATATCCCTTTTTAAAAAAATTATATATAAATATGTATACAAATCTATCCATATACGCCCCTCCGTATTTCCATATCATCTTACACATTTACAGGGACTAATTTGTAAGTTTTCATTTCTACCATGAATTAAATATCTGTCAAAAAGCCCCACCAATGCTGCCAAATTTCGTAAATTCTCAAACTTCTGATGAAGACACATGCAATGCAAGTCAAATTATTGGTCCTATTGGAGCTCTTCATCATCTCCATCATAATCATAATAATAATCATCATCACAGATGCCTCTCTACTTACATCCTTGCCGTTCATCACACACTTGGGCCCCACCCTATGGTGGTCTCCACCTGCTGACATGGACCAACCAATGAACAGGGAGAAAGCAACTCAGAGTGAGATGATATATAAATTTAGAAACCATAATCTACTTTCAGTCTCTCTTCTTGAAGGTGACTTTGTATCTCTTTGAGTCTCTCCTCCCTATTAATTTGATTCCCCACCACCGCCCCCTCCTGCTGCTTCATTTTCTTAACCTTCTTATCACCTCTCTCTCCCTCCCTCCCTCTCTTTCTCTCTCTCTCTCTTTCTCTCTCTCTCTCTCTGTGTCTGTTTCTTTCTCTTCTTTCTTCACAAATTCCACCACCCTTTTGCTCATACTCCATTCTATAAACTTTGAGTTGACATGGGAAGGCATTCTTGCTGCTACAAGCAGAAGCTGAGGAAGGGCCTGTGGTCTCCTGAAGAAGATGAGAAGCTTCTGAATTATATTACCAAGCATGGACATGGCTGCTGGAGCTCAGTCCCCAGGCTTGCAGGTAGAAAAGAAGAAGTATTGTATTTTTGTAATGCATTACACAGGATTTTAAGGACTGTTTAATTTACTGAGGTTGTAATCTTGGCTGCAGGTCTTCAAAGATGTGGGAAGAGTTGCAGGTTGAGATGGATTAATTACCTGAGGCCTGATTTGAAGAGAGGAGCATTTTCACTTCAGGAAGAGAACTTGATAATTGAACTCCATGCAGTGCTTGGTAACAGGTAAATTTCACAACTTTTAATGAATTGAACCTCCATTTGTGTTTAATTTTGTGGTTTGGTTGTTTAAATTTGTTGGCGGTGGTGGTTCATCAGGTGGTCTCAGATTGCAGCTCAGTTGCCAGGGAGAACTGATAATGAGATTAAGAATTTATGGAACTCTAGCATTAAGAAGAAGCTGAGACAAAGAGGCATTGACCCGAACACTCACAAGCCACTCTCTGAGGTTGAGAATGATAAAGAAAAGAAAATTATAATCAGTGACATAGCCTCTGGAGATCACTCCAATGAGCCTGCGAACCCGAAACCGCCTTCATTTTCTGCTGAAAGACACCTCCCTCTTGAAGTTTCTTCGACCTCGAAGATGATCAGTAGCAGCAGCAGCAACAACTTGTCTAGTACTCCTCACACTCAGGAGTTTTTTCTGGATAGATTTGGTGGTGCCTCCAATGATAGTTCAACCACAAGTTGCAGGCCTGATTTGGTAGGTTATTTCCCTTTCCAGAAGATGAATTATGGGCCTAATATCGGGTTGTCGGTTAACGCGAATTCGTCGCTTTGCTTCAATCCAAATTCCTCCTCTTCTGATCAGATGATTTCTGAGTTTAATTCCACCATGACACAAACCATTCTCCCTTCCATTTCAGCCTCAATGTTCCAAACTCCAATTCGCGTAAAGCCTTCCATTAGTCTTCCTTCTGAGAATCCTTCGAGTGATATCAATGGAGTCCAGAATTGGGAAGCCAGTAGCTTCAGTAACCATGGCAGCACCAGCAATGGAAGCACTAGTAGTAGCATTGAATTGCAAAGCAACAATTCCTTCTTCGAGAGCAACACCGCCGCCTACTCATGGGGACTAACAGACTGCGGAAAATCTGGTGATCAAGAAGACATCAAATGGTCTGAATATCTCAACACACCATTCTTCCTTGGAAGCACAATACAAAACCAAACCCCTCAGCCTATGTACAGTGAAGTTAAACCAGAAGCACACTTTATATCTGATGGATCAAGTGCCAGTTGGCATCAGAACCAGCATCAACAAACTTCACAGGCTTCAGATGTGTATACTAAAGATCTACAGAGACTTTCTGTGGCTTTTGGACAAACCCTTTAGCTTGTAGTTGTCTTGTATTTAGCAGGAGCAGAGTCTAATTGAAGGAGGGAAGAGAGAATCACACAAGTTTTTTTTATTTTTCTTTTCTTTTTTTTTTTTTTTTTTTTTTTTTTTTTTTTTTTCTTTGCTGATGGATTGTAAAAGGTATCTTCTTGTACAGTGTGTGCCATAGAATTTTCTTTTGTTTGTAAAGTTCCCTTATACAAAAATCTCCATATTTGTGTTGAACCAAGCTTATGTTTATTCTTGTCCATAAAATTCAATAGAATATCAAGAATAATGTCTTCTTTCTGGATTCAAAGTCCGTACTTTTTTATCAAAACTATCCAAAAGGAGTGATTCTGAAACTGAATTTAGAATTATCCACAAGGCTTTAATTTGCCTTGTTCATCACCTTTTGAAGTTGAAAGTTGATGAAGATTGTCTCTCTTTTGGTTTCCTGGGATTCATAGTTACTTTAATACTATCAATCTCTTTCCATATTGATCCTTTTCACATTGAACAAAACATTAAAATTCCATATAAGCTTTCCCTTATGCAAATTCAAAGGACCATTTTTCTTAATTGGTTGTCTATCATTGTCCCCCAACAGATTGAGATAGTTTTCACTTTTTGACAGCCTTTAAGTCACTTCTCTCTCCCAATGGTCCATCACAGAACAACCACAGCAAATTATTCTACTCTTCTTTTGGTTTACCATCTCTTAAAGCTCAAACAGCTGTTCAATTTTCCTTTCTGCCAAATCACCATTTCTTACTCCAAACTAAAAGCAAAAAAAAAAAAAAAAAAAGGAATTCAATGGAATGCCCCACTCATATTAATCTGCAAACTGCAAAAAAAAAAAAAGGTTATCTTTAAGAACATGGTAATGCAAGAAATTCCCATTTCATTAAAATTTTATTTATTCTCAGCGAGTGAATTGAATTCAGAGGTGATAAAATTCACATGAGGCCATTAGCCATTATGTGCTTGAAGTGGGCCAATATTACCTTTTACTTCGACAGTGAGAGGGGGCCCTCACAGAGGCATCTATTGATAATTCTGAAACTCCAATGGAAATGAAGAGGATAATTAGGAAAGAGAAGAACTGGTTAGGTGAATTAATTATGATTTTCATCTAGCCTTGTAGCTAAACAAATTTGGGAAAGCAAAATTTACAGTGCAGATGAAGTTGTTGCAGTTGAGCTTCATTTCTCATTAATATCATAGACCATATAGAATCATGATAATGGCAAGAAAATGTATGAGGGTACAAAGATTTTAAAGTCAATTTTAATCATGTTAATCTGCTAAGCCATAAATAGTGGCAATTAATTACCCTTTTTCTTCTGGTCATCAACTCATCATTGTACTAACTTGATTTCCACCTGTTTACAAGTTAACTGCTAATTAAGTGTCTGTTATGCTTACCCTTTTACCATATCAATCTTTCACACAAGTTAAAACCAATAAACAAATATAGTAGCTAAATTGGTACTCCTAATTCGTTTGGAAATCTGATATACAGGTTTAAGTAAGGAGGAAGTGTTCTGAGCTCTACTATTTAAGGTAGAAAAGAGATAAAATTTTAACCCCACTAAATAAGGTGGATAAGACAATATGTGATGATCGTAACTTTGAGAGTCTAACTAAAGGATCAACGGGTACTAAAGTAATAGTCCAAGTCCAACTAAGTAGATATCTTCTATCTTGAGCTTCACTTCCGGTAAACACGTCTACTTAATCAAGAAGATTAAGAGCTAATAACTCAACAAAATTATCATTTTCTACGTGAAGATGAGACAATCAAGCTTAGAAAGAGCCTTTGAAATGCATGGTGAATGGTGAGACCTCTAAAGCCAGGAGGATTAGTGGGTTATCTTTCAAAATGCATGCCCTAAGCAAAAGACAGAATCCTTCATGTTTCCCCATGTGCACAGCCACCAAAGAAGTACTCTTTCTCAATTTTATAAGCTCCTTCTTTGCAGGCATAAGAGAATAGCACTATTAATATTAATATTGATATTACTATACAGATACATTTACATTTGTATATTGATTTTTATATACCCTTGTGTACCTCAAACACATGTGAACTAAATTATTAGGCCTTTTCATTGAGGCCCTACAATCATGAGTGTGGAAAGAATACAAAAAGCATCACATTAGACTTAAGAGGAAGGGTTGATGATAAGATTACCAGCTATCCTGCTGCCAAATTTTCATTTATATTAATACATACTTTATAAACTCAGCATAACAAAGTTGAATGTTTTGGGAATCTTTGCTTTTCTTCAAACATATAATAGAGGGCAAGGTTCAAGCTATTGAACATTAATAATTTATGAGGGAAGAAGATGAGTGCCATGATGATGAAATCATTATAAAGCAATGATAATGATATATATACATAGTTTATAACATAAACTTATCTAATATAATATGTTGAGAACCTTTTTTTAATAGAAAAATGAGTTGAAAAAGACCAGCATATAAAGTTTCAATAGTCGTTCTAAATAATCAGCAACTAATCTTTTACTCTTAATTTGATGTTTCAAGATATCGAAACGTCGTTTTCTGATTTTTTTTTTAAGTTTTTAACGTGCAGAAAAAATAACAGTATGATACAAATGGAGTGTCAGAAACATTATTTACCAACATCTGTTAAAATGTGGAAGAGCAGCGCATGATCGTCCTTCTTATATTGCTGGTCCCTGGTGGCAAAATTTGTGGATATTTAGCTGCTTTAAGTCATATTCAAACCTTCAAGCAAAATGAAACATGACAGTCACATATGGGAATCCCCATAATAATGCCATGGACTTGGCCAGTTTTGAGTCATTCTTCTGTCATCTGCAGGCTACTTTTTTTCTGCTCATTTCATTTTGGTCCATATGTTTGACATTTTAACTTGTACTGAATATGAGATGATGGCTTTTCTTGTCATCATATTATAAAAATAGCTAACTTTATAAAATTCCCACTTGATTTTACTCTAGATATGAAAATTTCTGTAAATGAAGTTGGTTATAATTACAAGTTACTGCAAGAGGAATCAATGCTCTTACTAACTAACAAATCATCATCCTTTCCATCATTTGAAAGCAATCCTGAAATCTTGCAACAATCATTGCTAATGATTCTCTAATCAGCCAATTGTAATATCAGACACTATGTTATTTTTCTGATATAAATAAAGAAAAGGCTTATTATAGTGGTAGAAGACTATAAAAAGGAACATGACTGTGGCATGATGAATACAAAATTATGGTAATCAACTAACAACTATTGACCAATTGTAAATAAGTGAATATTTTTTAGGGCAATACTACACTTATAATCCAATCTCATAAACTTTCTCTCACAACCTCGACATGACAGTTCACAATTGGTTTTTAATGAATTTTTCTACTTAACCAAATTGTAAGCTGCCACGTCGAGATTGTAAAAGAAAGTTTGTAAAATTGGATTCTAAGTGTATCTTTATTGTATTTTTCAAGCAATGTAAAAATTTCAGATGGTGACATTGCCACATTAAGCTTCAAACAGGCTTTCTATTTATTGTGTTTCCAATTTCTGTGTCAGTTGGGGCCTTGTAAACCATATAGAAGGTTGAAACGCAAGCAATTTTAGCTGTTAAAAGTCATCAAATGAGCACTGAATGAAGAACTAAAATGAAATATTTACTGCTGATATCAGCTACAAGTAGAGATAATTTCTGGGTAAAGGGTTGTCCCAGTGGATGCGAAACTGATCAATTAGTGGATGCGAAACTATGCATTAAGCATTGGCTGGCAACATTAATATGACTAGGGATTGAAAATCATTATCATAAGCATAGATGAATGGATGCGAAAAGAAAGAAAAAGAATAGCATTACTAGTTTATAGCAAGTACACAGCTGAATCTATGTAAAAGGCTTGCTGGTTGCATTTGCATTTCATAGATGAGTGGATGCGATAAGAAAGAAAAAGAATTGCATTACTACTTGATAGCAAGTACAGAGGGGGAGCTATGTAAAAGGCTTGCTGGTTGCATTTGCATTTCTCAGCAATCCTCTTTTCTTTTTCTTTTTTTCTGTTTATTGTCTCTCCTATCAACCTTGGTTGAATTCTGAAGTACATTTAATAAATGATGGGAAGAACATAAGATACACTTATAATATGACCATATAAATTGAGGCGACTGATAAAATTAGGCTCGGAAAACCAGATTATGGCAAGTTTTGTCACAAGGGTAAGGACAATCAATGACCTTAACACCTGTCCGATCAAAATACCAATCTCCAACAGCTATTGCAATTGCCTGCACATTGTCAAATAATAGGAAATTAGATTTATAATTAACTTCCACTTCTATGTAACAGTACTCAACACTGGGGTGATGCGGGCGTATACTACAAGATGAGAGGTGAGTTTTACAAGTCTTTATGTAAATTCAAAAAATGTTTTCTTTAGGCGTCAAGGATTATAATGTCCTTTAATGACTTGTCAGTATGCAGGAAAAAAAAAAACTAGTCTCCACTTCAATAAAGACAAAAAGGCAACAGTTTTTTTTCCAGGTGTGTTATCAAGAAAACAGCTCAGTAGATGTTGGATTGAGCTAAAATGGAGTTTTGTGGTTCAACTATAGCATGCAGGTTGATTCAAATTGTTCGATATTTTAAGAGGAAAGAAGAAAATTTTGAAAACAAAGTAGTTGCTACATATTGAAATGGCCACTCATCTGCAAAGTATAATGCATAACTATTATTCATAAGGATATATTATATAAGTTTTCATGATTTTGACTATTGGAAATCTATGCACAACTAGTTAGATCATGCATACCTTGTTACCAACAACAGGAGAATCATCAGCAAACCATGTATCTTGCCTCTCTGATTGGCAGTGAGCAAAACATGAATTTATGAATAAGCCATTCTGTCTAGACATCGAGAAGCCTTTGACCGCATTCAACACTTGATTCCTGAAACCTGTTCCAAGAAAAAAAGAAATGCCCTTTTACGATTAATCTTATGTACATCTGCTTAAGCCCATATAGATTTGAAAGCCCAAAAGATTTCTTATATTCATGTATAATTCACCTTGCAAAAATTTAATCTGTGATGGAGTGCATTTCGCATGGTTCAACCTGCAATCACGCCAATAGCCGGCGGGATCTGCTGATGGTGGAGCTAAACTTGATTGGATCTGATTACACATGTAAGAAATAACTTAGTCCATCAAGCTTATTGTTCAAATCCTCCAGGGCTACTCTCATAAGCAGATCATTGCCAAAAGTTCATTAGGTGATTAAAGATTATTATTCTAGATAAAAAGGTCATTACCTGCCATGAATCGTAAGCTGCATTGAGAATAAAGAGCGGGGTTTTGACATGGCCAATTATGTTTTGTGGGAAGAAGCACTGAAAGCAGAAAAGTACAAAAGATTTGGTTTAAGACAGCTGAATAATGTGTTGATCATTCTACATTTCTTCTCAGTGAATCAAATCAGATGTACATCTACGGAAAAGGAAATTAAGAAAAAGACTTACAGAAGTTGGATCAAGGTGATTAGTACATATGCGTGGCAGATGGCTTTCCACACCCTGCAACAATCATGAAAACTAACTTCATAAGCATCTATCAGATCAACTTCCATAAATTATTCCGAAATCAAAAGAAAATCACGTAATAATGATGTGTGCAGCTCCATGGTTCTAGTGGTATGTGAAATTTCAATCTTCCCAGCAGTTAAACCAAAAACAAAAAAAGTGACCTGCTTGGTTACAAGATTGACACAGGTTGACTTCATGACATATATATTTATTATTTTGTGTATACTTCTTTGGTTTTGTGAGTCTATGTGCTTATTGGCTATGCTCAGTTATATTGTTCCAGGAATGCTTATTAGCATCACTTACATAGCATTCATAAAGAGCTCTAAAGGATGCAAGACAAAGAATTTGGTATGACATGGAAGTTCACAAGTTTATTATCAATGTGGTACCTGCAAGCCTACTACTCCACTGTACAAACTCCTGAGGGTGCGCCCACCAGATACGTCAACGCTGAAATTCCAGACAGGATAGCCAATGAATAAATTAAGCCTTCTAAGCTACAGAACTAAGAAACAAGTTAATATTTAAGAAGTACGGAACTAAAAGAATCAAAGATAGTTGGCACTTACGAATCAAGAAATAGACCAGCGTCACTCAAGCACTTTACTCTAATATTTCTAGGGAAAAAGCTTCTGAACTCATCACAGTGTAAAATAGATGCTAGGCCTCCCGCAGAGCACCCAGAAAGAAGAGCCTGAAACTCGATTGCTCTAATATTTTAGGAATACAAAAAATGGAATGGAATACGAGAAAAAGATTAAAGGCTTTAAATTTATTAACCTGATGGGCATGGTGCATTCCCTTGGCCATTAAATCTTCAACTGCTGCTTTCCATATGCGTTGTCCCCTAAATTGCAGTTGTGCAGCCTGTAACCAAATTCATTTCACTTGAACATGTGGTTCACAGTATAAACAGAAAGATATAGTTGACCCAGCACAACCAGATGCATATCTCAATGTATATTTCAGTTCTTACATATACTAATTGACTTCAACGCTTGAATACTAAATATCTCACTCTTCTTATTCTCAGAATTAGTTCCCACTCTTTTTACTACATAAATACTGTTACTTCATAGCTCTCTCTTGTCACAGGACACAAAAAACTTGAAAGAAGGTAAAAAGCAGATCATAAACAAAGCTTTTTTAGACTAGAATCGCAAAACTTCTGTGCCATCCATTTTTAAAAAAATGACAAACAACAAAAAACAAAAAGAATAAAAAATTGGGCCTGGCCCAGCATTCCAGCATGGAACAGCCAGATCGTGCCGTGTCCGGCCACTATGACCCCACAGCATCCAACCATGAAGGACATGCTCAAAACCTGCCGGGTTGTGCCATTTTTGGGCCGACTTGACCCATTTTACACCTCTATTCTGGAAATGAGAAGTTAATACCATCAACCAGAAAAGATAAGAAATGAAACCTTTTTAAGGGAAAACGTAAGCATCAAGATACCTAAAGCTTTTCTAATCATAACCACCAAGATGATAAAGCTTTTGTAGTAATGGGGACCAGACAACTGTTTGACAATTGAATGGTAGTTGTAAAATCCCAATCAATCGCTTGACATCCAGACAGAATTTTCACAAATATTCTATGAAAATAAGCAAATAGCCAAATATTCTGTTAACCTTATTTTCACTGTCCCCGGTGAAAGAAGCACCGTCACAATAACGAAGCTTTACTCTATTCCAATTGAAAAAATCTGCAACACAACACACAATAAAATAACATAATGCTTGAGACAGTTATATTAATAAAAACAAAATAGTGCTAGCAGAACTTGATCAGCCTTGAATCTTGTAAAAATCAGATAGGAAACCTGGATTTTCTTGAGCTTTATTGCTTAGTATTCCTGTAAATGGTATCCACTTTTCCATGTACAAGGATGAACCTCGCCTAGTTTTCTTCCGGTAAACACAAGTTCTAACACTATTACACCATCCTCCTCCCTGCCATAAGATGTTTAACCATGTCAAAAACATATAAAGAAGATTGATAGCATAAATCTAAACAAAATATTTTTAAGAGATGCAGAGTTTTTCATCCAGAAAATTCATTATTATTGCACATCAAGAATAAGGTACCAGCCAAAAATGACTTTTTTTTTTCCTTACTGGTGATGAAGACTCAATGAGAAATCAAAATTACAAACCTCCAACTGAATGAGCCAACTATTTGCTCCTGAACCATATCCACGATGCAAATGGTATCCAGGCAATGTTCCATCCAAACAAACTGCAAGATTCAGGCACACAAGAAGGAATATTAAATTGGCCAACAAGTAAGAATAATTTCAACATGCAATAGTTAAATTGTCACAAGTCGCAATCTTCAAAAATTATAACCAGATTTACCAAAGGTAACATATTAACATACACAGATCAACCCATCTTAAAAACAAGTAGCAGTTGAAAAAATAAACATGCAACAGAACAAAAATGTTCCACTCAGATCACAGAACCAACATTGAGACAAAAAAGACAACAAAAGGTTGAGCATTAAAATATTAATTGAGTAAACACTAACCCATCTCTCAAGGCTCATTTTTTTTTTTTTTTTTTTACTAGTAAAGTACAATTCAAGTTACAATTAATGCTTCCATGACAAAAACAAATCCAAATCAAGAGAATCACAAACATGAGCAAATTTCAAAAGGAAGAAAGTAAGAAACTAAAAAAAAAGACACAACCCATCTGCAAAACAAAGTTGCAGAAAAGAATTAGAATACCATGAAAGTTAAAGTTAAAGGGTGTGAGTACCTGCGCCTTTGGCACCAGCTCCTTGAATGAGAGTGAGTCCAACCATGAGAGGATTAGCAGAGAGTTTAGAGTTGGAGATTTCATCACCATTATGAACATAAGCCTCAATGTTGGCCAGTTCTGTTTCATTAAACTCCAAGAACCCATCAACCCATTTGCCAAATACAAACACCATTACAAACACAACCCACAAAAGCTTCATCTTCTTTTCCAATCAAAGTTTCAATCTTTCTGCCCAAATCTTGAAAAAGGTTGAAACTTTGACACTGTAACAATGTGTTCGTTGTCCTCTACCTCCTCAGCTTCAAACTAAAATCAAGTGACATGCTTTTAAAGGCAAATAATATTGATAATTATTTTTATTATTTTTATTAATTTATTTCCTTGTATTGAATATATTTGAACGAAAATTTTGTGGACAGGAGTCAACAGTAAAGAGTATTTGCCGGGCTTTTTAAGGTTTTTAAGATGGTTGATTAAGAAAACCCAACCGGTTTGGCCGATTTACAATGGAACCCCAATAGTTATGAAAATAAATTTCAACCCCCATTTTGTTCATGGCATAATGGTCCATTCACAAATAAAAAATACATATAGGATATTTGCACACAAAACAAAACTACTTTATAGTAGTTTTTGCATACCCATATATGTATGTACACAATTATAATTTTAACAATGGTTTTTTAAATTAATTCTCTCTTACCTTATTACATATCTTTTAAATGTTTGAATTCTTGAAAACTCAATAAACACGTAGAGAAATCAATTTGTTGTAAGTCTTGTGTTTTAACAAGGGTAAATGTGAAGAACACAAGGAGTTAATGGTAAAAGAAAGGAAAAGAAGTTTAGAATATAAGGTCTAGGTGAATTTCCATCATACAATTATTGTTTCATTTAGATTGCTAGATCTCATTTTGTCAAGTTCGTACTCGTAATGAATCTACTTTTTAGTTTGTGATTTTCATTAACTTTTAATAAAATATCTATTGATTTGTGATGAAATGTCAAAATAAAGGTGAAAATATTTAGAAAGTAGGTTATTAAGAGTCTTACCTCAAATGCAAAATAGACAAAATGGGGTTAAAATCCCACTTTTAATACTAATGGGGGTTCATGGTTATTCACCANTATTGGGGACCAGACAACTGTTTGACAATTGAATGGTAGTTGTAAAATCCCAATCAATCGCTTGACATCCAGACAGAGTTTTCACAAATATTCTATGAAAATAAGCAAATAGCCAAATATTCTGTTAACCTTATTTTCACTGTCCCCGGTGAAAGAAGCACCGTCACAATAACGAAGCTTTACTCTATTCCAACTGAAAAAATCTGCAACACAACACACAATAAAATAACATAATGCTTGAGACAGTTATATTAATAAAAACAAAATAGTGCTAGCAGAACTTGATCAGCCTTGAATCTTGTAAAAATCAGATAGGAAACCTGGATTTTCTTGAGCTTTATTGCTTAGTATTCCTGTAAATGGTATCCACTTTTCCATGTACAAGGATGAACCTCGCCTAGTTTTCTTCCGGTAAACACAAGTTCTAACACTATTACACCATCCTCCTCCCTGCCATAAGATGTTTAACCATGTCAAAAACATATAAAGAAGATTGATAGCATAAATCTAAACAAAATATTTTTAAGAGATGCAGAGTTTTTCATCCAGAAAATTCATTATTATTGCACATCAAGAATAAGGTACCAGCCAAAAATGACTTTTTTTTTTCCTTACTGGTGATGAAGACTCAATGAGAAATCAAAATTACAAACCTCCAACTGAATGAGCCAACTATTTGCTCCTGAACCATATCCACGATGCAAATGGTATCCAGGCAATGTTCCATCCAAACAAACTGCAAGATTCAGGCACACAAGAAGGAATATTAAATTGGCCAACAAGTAAGAATAATTTCAACATGCAATAGTTAAATTGTCACAAGTCGCAATCTTCAAAAATTATAACCAGATTTACCAAAGGTAACATATTAACATACACAGATCAACCCATCTTAAAAACAAGTAGCAGTTGAAAAAATAAACATGCAACAGAACAAAAATGTTCCACTCAGATCACAGAACCAACATTGAGACAAAAAAGACAACAAAAGGTTGAGCATTAAAATATTAATTGAGTAAACACTAACCCATCTCTCAAGGCTCATTTTTTTTTTTTTTTTTTTACTAGTAAAGTACAATTCAAGTTACAATTAATGCTTCCATGACAAAAACAAATCCAAATCAAGAGAATCACAAACATGAGCAAATTTCAAAAGGAAGAAAGTAAGAAACTAAAAAAAAAGACACAACCCATCTGCAAAACAAAGTTGCAGAAAAGAATTAGAATACCATGAAAGTTAAAGTTAAAGGGTGTGAGTACCTGCGCCTTTGGCACCAGCTCCTTGAATGAGAGTGAGTCCAACCATGAGAGGATTAGCAGAGAGTTTAGAGTTGGAGATTTCATCACCATTATGAACATAAGCCTCAATGTTGGCCAGTTCTGTTTCATTAAACTCCAAGAACCCATCAACCCATTTGCCAAATACAAACACCATTACAAACACAACCCACAAAAGCTTCATCTTCTTTTCCAATCAAAGTTTCAATCTTTCTGCCCAAATCTTGAAAAAGGTTGAAACTTTGACACTGTAACAATGTGTTCGTTGTCCTCTACCTCCTCAGCTTCAAACTAAAATCAAGTGACATGCTTTTAAAGGCAAATAATATTGATAATTATTTTTATTATTTTTATTAATTTATTTCCTTGTATTGAATATATTTGAACGAAAATTTTGTGGACAGGAGTCAACAGTAAAGAGTATTTGCCGGGCTTTTTAAGGTTTTTAAGATGGTTGATTAAGAAAACCCAACCGGTTTGGCCGATTTACAATGGAACCCCAATAGTTATGAAAATAAATTTCAACCCCCATTTTGTTCATGGCATAATGGTCCATTCACAAATAAAAAATACATATAGGATATTTGCACACAAAACAAAACTACTTTATAGTAGTTTTTGCATACCCATATATGTATGTACACAATTATAATTTTAACAATGGTTTTTTAAATTAATTCTCTCTTACCTTATTACATATCTTTTAAATGTTTGAATTCTTGAAAACTCAATAAACACGTAGAGAAATCAATTTGTTGTAAGTCTTGTGTTTTAACAAGGGTAAATGTGAAGAACACAAGGAGTTAATGGTAAAAGAAAGGAAAAGAAGTTTAGAATATAAGGTCTAGGTGAATTTCCATCATACAATTATTGTTTCATTTAGATTGCTAGATCTCATTTTGTCAAGTTCGTACTCGTAATGAATCTACTTTTTAGTTTGTGATTTTCATTAACTTTTAATAAAATATCTATTGATTTGTGATGAAATGTCAAAATAAAGGTGAAAATATTTAGAAAGTAGGTTATTAAGAGTCTTACCTCAAATGCAAAATAGACAAAATGGGGTTAAAATCCCACTTTTAATACTAATGGGGGTTCATGGTTATTCACCAACATAGGGAAGGTTAAATAATTACCCACTTTTAATACAAGCTCACTGCTCACGTTTAGAATCTAACAAGATTTGTATATTAAACTGAGAGAAATCTCAATCGGCAGGTACGGCTAATTATTGAATCTGACAGATAGTCTTACAGCCATAGGATGCAGGTGAAGAACACGTGTAAGGTGGATTGACTATTGGCGAAAGTTTCGGTTCATTTATTCTGTGTGGTGGAACCCGTGGCGCTTTAGCGGCATACAGCTGTTTCTCTCTCTCTTTTTCATTTAAATCCAAAAGTTTTTTTTTTTAAATTAAATATTTTTAAAAAAGAAAAAATTTATATTAAAAATGTTTTTCTTATTTTAATCAAAGATAAAGTATATGTTTTATATTTTTATTTAAGATGATTTTTCAAATAAAAATAAATTTATTTTGTGCTAAATTAATATTTTATAAATTGGTCTTTTCATGACAATTTTATTTATATTTTTTTATCTAAAAAATGGTTATAATTTTTAGATATTTATAGGTCAAGGTAATATTTATAGTTAGAGTGATAATAAACGTTAGGTGTATTACTCAAAAAATTCTAATTTGAACTTCTTCTCGATTGTTAAAAGGGAGCCTCAAAACTCTTATCCGGTCGATAGTTTCAGGGTCTTGAGAGATTGTTAAGTACCCATAAATTAATCTGGACACTTCTGATCTAAAAAAAAAAAAAAAAAAATACTACAGGTACAAATAAATCTTACAAATATTTTTATATAAAGTGATATGGCAAAAAATAAACGAATAAGTGAATAATAGTTTAACTTTTTTTTATTACTCTTCTATTTATTTTTGTCACATCACAAAATGACATAAATCTTTTTAAAGTTCTTTCTACTACTAAGTTCTAACATTATCGTTTATTATTTTTGTTTTTTTGTATTTTCTTATTTTTCATTTTTTATTTCTTATTTACGATTATTAATTATTTATATTAATTGCAAGTTGTTTCTAAAATATTCTAAACTAAAAGAGGATTTAATCCCTTCTATTTTATTATGATATTTTTTAATATTAAAAAGTGCTCTTTTTCTTCTTATTTTATTGATTAATCAAAATAAAAATCAATAATATAATTATATCAATTATTTGTGTAGATATAATCATGAAACAACCTTGGCCCTATCTCTTTTATTCGTCTTTTAATTATTATTTTTATTTGCTAATACATTGAGATTTGGTCCATTCACAAGCAGCAAGCTTCGTGTAAATAATTTATTTATTTTTTTCAGAAAAGGAAACCTAAAAATCTAAGTTTGGCCAAAATTTGAGTCAATAAAAACCCCCAAAATTTTAACATTTCAACATTAATTTCAAGCCCTTATTATTTCATCTATTTATTTTCTAACTTAAAATTAAATCTCATGTGATTAGTTTGACATTGTGACATTTGTCTTCAAAAAAAAAAAAAAAAATACCAAATTCAATTCAAATCTCATAATATGATTAATTAATTCATTCTTCTTAAACCCAATTTTACGATTAATTTAAAGTGGGCCATTTTATATTTTTATGGTTCAAATCTTAGGACTTTGTAAGTGTTTAATGAATTTCGAGATTAGTTGAGGTGCGTGTAAACTGGCTGGACACCTTGATTATCCAAAAAAAAAAAAGGTGCCAATTTTATGTACAATTCTTTTTGCTTTATTTTATTACCAACGTATATAAATGAAGGGGCAAAACGAAAAAACAAAAACAAAAAATAAAAAATGTATAATTAGAGTTTGTCTTCATTAATTATTGAAAGTTGGTAATTGAAGCCAAAATTTGTAATTAATAGAGTACGGCCAAGTTGAATTTAATCTTGTTAATTTGCAATAATATAAATTAATATAATAATGAGTTCTTTAATATTATTAGATAATTAATTATAATTGTGTTGACCATTGATGACCATGCATATGCTAGATCCGCGTTTATTTATTTATTAATTTACTCATCCTTAATTAAATATCTGTGATCTCCTCATGATGATCCATGAACAATAACAACTAAATTAATTATTCTTATTAAATCCTTAATCCATAGATGGGTCGAGAACAAATCTGCATTATTATAATCACTAACCTTATGGTTGGACAACAAGACTTTAGTCATCTGGGTGAGTTATCCAAAGGTCTTCTGTTCGAGTCTCACAAAATAGTCGCTCACCATATTTGCAACTTACCTGGCTCATTAAGATTGTAGTGTGTTCGATGGACCACAGGGATTAGTTGAGATGCTTGTAAGTTGTCTCGAATACCTCAGTTATTTTTATCAATTTTAAATTTTAGATATTATAAATATGATAAATTTACTCATTCGTAGGTAGCCTAAATAGTTATGATAAATTAGAATAGTATGTATAAACGTACTGTCTTAAGTTCGATTCTCCATATGATAAATGAGAAATCGTGATGGTAAGTTATTGAAGTATACATAAACTGACCGAACAGGTTAAAATTTTGGCTTTGGGGTTGCTTAATTTAAGGTGAACTGAATAATTTGGGTAGAAGGAAGCTCGGAGGATGATTGCGATTGATTGACATCATGCATGGATAAAATATTGAATTGAGAAAATTGGGAAATTTAATTGAATTTGTGAGACAGAGAGATTCCTTGCTCTAAAGTTGACATGCCATAAATCATCTTCATCTTGTAGGGTCTTGAAGTTGACTCCTCCCTCATTCCATTTTGTTTTTATATATACAGCTTTATGATCAAGATTCTTAATTATTTGTCGTTTCACATTTCGTTAATTAATCTCATTGTTTCAAAAATAATTCCATATTAGATGGAAAACGTTAGTACATAACATCGTTTTCACAATAATAATTTATACATAGATTCATCATATATATCATTGTTGGGATATTGTAGCTTGTTTTCCTATTTATTCTCGTATAAAATTGTAATTCTTTAGGAAAACTATTTAATAAAGAATACAATTGTAAATAGAAATATAATTACGAGAGTTCAATTAGAAATTGAAATATAAATCTTATTAGAAATAGAATGTTCCATATACGACCTATAAATATAAGGGTGAGAATCAATTCAACCTTATGAGAGAAGGTAAGAACATATGATATTTGATGTGAGGGTTATTAAACTTCATGGATAGAGTGTTTCCGCACTCTATTAATTAATTATGTACCGGGTTTAGGTTTATGGTGTTGTATACTATTGTATATTGTGTAATTATGTACCAAGTTTAGATTTACGGTGTTGCGTATTCTTGTACATCGTGTTTATAAAACTACAGTGAATTTTTCTCATCTGCAGATGCAGACAGATTATGCTGAACTATGTAAATATCGTATCTCTTTGTATGGTGTGATTTTATTTCTATGTTATTAATCTCGAAGTATGTTTTCTACTGTACAATCTTCTAACACTCATGTGCATGCATAATTGATATTAACCTTAGGACAGAAGGTAAGAATACATGATATTTGATGTGAGAGTTATTAAACTTCATGGGTAGAGTGTCTTAGAAATTGAGATTGTTTCCACACTCTATTAATTAATTATGTACTGGGTTTAGGTTTATGGTGTTGTATACTATTGTATATTGTGTAATTATATACCAAGTTAAGATTTATGGTGTCGTGTATTCTTGTATATCATGTTTATGAAACTATAGTGAATTTCTTTCATCCGCGGATATAAACAGATTATGTTGAACTATGTAAATATCGTGTCTTTTTGTGTAATGTGATTTTACTCTTATACTATTAATCTTGAAGTATATTTTCCGCCGTACAATCTTCTAACACTCATAACTCGTGCATGCATAATTGATATTAAAGGAAGATAATCAATCAAATTACGCANACGGCCAAGTTGAATTTAATCTTGTTAATTTGCAATAATATAAATTAATATAATCATGAGTTCTTTAATTATAATACAAACAGTATTATTAGATAATTAATTATAATTGTGTTGACCATTAATGACCATGCATATGCTAGATCCGCGTTTATTTATTTATTAATTTACTCATCCTCAATTAAATATCTGTGATCTCCTCATCAAGATCCATGAACAATAACAACTAAATTAATTATTCTTTTATAAATTTTGTCATCCATATTCATCCAATTACTACCTTGGTCAACATTTTTTTTTATATATTGTTTCTTAATTATTAAATCCTTAATCC